ATAGAAAAATTTTGATTACGGATGAGAAAATTTTTACAATTGAGCAACATTTAACAAACAAAATGACCGTATCAACTCAAAGCTCTAAGGAAGCTTCCCAATTAGTCGACAGAGTGCAACGTGGGCACTATCCGACTTCACTGATGGTTTGGTGGGGTATTAGCTTGAAGGAGTGACTGAACCATACTTTTGTGAAAAAGGTATCAAAACATCGGCACAAGTGTATCAAGATACCATTCTTGAGAAGGTAGTGAAGCCCCTTAACAACACCATGTTCAATTATCAAGAATGGTCCTTCCAGCAAGACTCGGCGCCAGGTCATAAAGCTCGGTCTACGCAGTCTTGGTTGGCGGCCAGTCGTCTATCGCAGCACGAACGAGGTCCATGTCAATATCGGCGGCTGCCTTAATCAAGGATGTCTTGAGTGACTCCAAATTGGGATGAGGCTTTGAGCACGCCTTTTCCTCCAAGTGTTGCCATATCTTGTAATCTAACGGATTCAAATCTGGACTGGAGGAGGGCCAGTCTTCGTGCCGGATGAAGTCGATTTCACGCGCCGCCAGCCAGTCTTGTGTGCTCTTCGCTCTATGAGCTGGCGCCGAATCTTGTTGGAATACCCAGTGCCTGTTATTGAACATGGTATGAGAAACAGGTTCCACAAGGTTCGTCAGGACTGTATTTTGATACACAACTGCATTCGTTTTTACACCTTTCTCACAAAAATGTACCTCTGTTAAGCCCCAATAAGAAACTCCCAAACATACCATGAGCGAGGATGGAAAATGACCTCGTTGGACACGCGGAATACGGTTGCTCGCTTCTTCACTACTGTGTGCGTACACCTTATCATTTTGTTTGTTGTAGCTCTCTTCTACGGTAAAATTTTCTAATTTAAAATTAGAATTCAATTAACTTTTTTGTGGCCAGCATTCTAAAAGAAAAGTTTTTACTGTGTGACAATACTTATGACCTGACTAGTTATATTCCGCAGAATCTAAAGACGAAAGTCTTCAATCAGTGCGTCCTGCCTGTCATGACATACGGAGCCGAAACGTGGACACTCACGATTGGGCTGGTCCACCAGCTTAAAGTCGCTTGACGAGCTAAGGAAAGGGCTATGCTAGGGATTTCTCTGAAGTATCGAATCCGGAACGAGATGATCCGACAGGGAACCAAAGTTATCGATATAGCACAGCGGATTAGTAAGCTGAAGCGGCAATGGGCTGGCCATATTAGCCGGACAACCGATAACCGTTGGAGTAAACGTGTTCTTGAGTGGAGACTGCGAATTGGCAAACGTAGAGCAGGATGCCCTCAGGCTCGGTGGAGTGACGATCTGTGCTGGGTGGCTGGCAAAAGCTGGATGAGAGAAGCCGAGGATTGTGCTCAGTGGCGTGCAATTGGAGAAGTCTGTGTCCAATACACACACCTGTGTGTACTGTATGTATTTTACAGTAATTATCGGATACCTATTAAATTCATGCAATGACTCTCAGTGACCAAAGTGAAAAGCACCACGTACGTATCCTGTATTAATTTTTTATGCTCCTGTTAGTTGGTTCTTTAATATAAATAATACTTTTTTAATATTTCTTTTGTATTACTTGTTTTTGTTATCATCTATTGACCTTCAAAAAAAGAAAAATGTTATTTTTACTATAGCATATAATAATATATTAGAATATATTTTAGAATAAATATTATAAAAATGTTAGGAAAAACAAATAGCTCGTTGGCCTTGTTTTTTATAAATCTTGGTTAAAGTTAGCATTTTGTATTTCACAATTGAATTATGATGATTAATTAGTGAATTAATAAAGTGACGAGACGGATCGCTTAATATTTTGAACTCTGTTATCCGCTTTCTTAACTTAGCGAATCTTATGTATTCTAATCAGAATGTTCACAATGATTTTAATGTTTTTTTTATTTTTTATTACTTAGTTCGGTGGACGAGCTCACAGCCCACCTGGTGTTAAGTGGTTACGTGTGGTTAAGCCTATAGACATATCTACAACATAAATACGCCACCCACCTTGAGATATAAGTTCTAAGGTCTCAGTATAGCTACAACGGCTGCCCCACCCTTCAAACCGAAATGCATTACTGCTTCATGGCAGAAACAGGCAGGGTGGTGGTACCTACCCGCGCGGACTCACAAGAGGCCCTACCACCAGTATAAAATTATTAGAATTAAGTAGGCTTTAAATTCTACGACTCAAATACAATAAAATATAGAAAGTATTTTATTATTTTGACTAGACGGGTAAATGAATTCACGGTCCACCTGATATATGTAGTGGTAATTTTTTTAAATGGGCTCTACATACACAGTTCAGCTCTTGTTATAATTTAATCTAAGTATTAAGACAATTCACCTAGAAATGATTATGGGCCGAAATCCAAATCCGTGACGGGAACCACGTTTATATGGGTAGCGGATTGGTAGGACCTCTTGTGAGTCCGCGCGGGTATGTACCACCGCCCTGCCTATTTCTACCGTGAAGCAGTAATGCGTTTCAGTTTGAAGGGTGGGCCAGCCGTCGTAACTATACTGAGATCTTTAGAACTTATATCTCAAGGTGGGTGGAGCATTTACGTTGTAGATGTCCATGGGCTCCAGTAACCACTTAACACCAGGTGGGCTGTGAGCTCGTCCACCCATCTAAGAAATAAAAAAAAAGCCACGGCCTTGTTTTTTCGGGCCAGGAGCCGAAACTCCTACGAGATCCCCGCGACTAGGGGACGCGCGGGGTATATGGGACTGGTCCTCGACTGCGAACCGCGAGCTCAAGGAAATTTTTAGGGCCCTACCGCACTAAGCGACTCCCCTCTTACTTCCAACATCCGATCTCCGCTCAGGGTCACAACACGGACAGAGTTAAGGGGTTCCTGCGGTCAACACTACAATCAGCCACCCCTAGGACGCCCAACCAACAGGTCGTCGAGGCGATAGTCGACGACCAACGATGCTGGTATCTACGGTACAGTGGCCCTACCAGGCCGCCCCGGCGATGCCGCTGGTGTTCTGTGATAGATCTGCCTGCCGGGTCGGAACGCGATACACCGCTGACCGGCCCCCTTAGATCGCCCTGTGATCAACGGGAGGAGACTGCATCCTCACAGGAGCCGGAGCAGGACGAACGCCCTCCCTCGCCGACCCCCAGTTCGGCGGCGGCGGCACGGCTCTCTCTCTTCCGTTCCGCCGCCTCCTTCTGTGAGATGTTGGACTCGCTGAAGTCGAGCATCGCCTGCCAGGACTCGTCACTGTCGAACATCGTGATTCACAGACAGTAAATGTAAAGTACACACTCTGCAAGATACTTATGTACGTCTACGCAAGTAATTAAAAATCGAACATGAGGCATGCTGTCAAACAATAAAAAGAAAATTAACCTCTGATGATGCCAACAAGTATTCACTGTACTAATATTACGCGACCTACATGTAACCTCTCGATTATCCTCATATTATCTAGTATATATTATGTAGCGATAATGATTCAGGAGGTGCTCCATTGTAGTCGTTAAAATTATTTAAAAAGATTCTGCTGTAACCAAGTCTGTATTTTCGTCTGTGTCCAACTGGTTTCTATTTCTACTTATAGTGTGTTTCTGTACAACACACAATACGCGAGATATAAATACGTAATCTTCAGTTTGATCTACATGTTTTAAATCTAGTACAGAAGTTCAATTTTAATTCCCAGATGCACCCAAAATGAACTATCGTAATTTATCCAAAAGCTTTGAGTCACATTTATAACATGTTTAATATTAAACAGGCAAACAAAGACAAAACATGTTTTTATTCTGCTGGAAAATTACGAAATACAATAGGGTTTTGCTTAAATATAAAAGGACGGCTTTGGGCAGCCGATTAAATATGCATTGTTCTGTAACAATGTTGGATTTAACTGAAATGTTTATTCAAATGTAATTTAGTCTGTTTATTTTTTTCATAATTAATACATATAATAAAATAATTGGTATTTAGGGTTTCTGTACATTGAAGAGAAATAACAAAAAGGAACGGTTGCAACTAAAGTAATGCTATAAAATACAAACAAGCGTTATTTTTTTTCTATCTGTCACACATCTCTAACGTTCTCGTAGTTTTACAGGAAAATGGATATACATGAATTAGAAGAATAGAAACTTTATTTCATTTAAAAGATATCATTCCTTAAAAATGTTTAGAATATACTTTAATATATTTAAGTAACTTTAATATATTAAAATTTATTATTATAGCATTTTATTTGTTTAGATTACTGTAACTCTGCTAAGTTTTCACGTCCACACCATCGATGTGATCTTGACGAAATTCTGTATGAAAATTCTTAAAAATGTTAAAATCCAAACAAACTAGTTTCCCTTAGCTACCTGAGATGTAAATTGTTTTTATTATCTGCATCTATTGAATGTTCGATTTTCTCTTTTTCTATGTACTTGCATGTTTTTTGGACCCACCACCCATTAAGAAAAACTACATTAAAGTTATTTGAAATCGTCAAGTCACCACCTAGAATTAAATACACTTGACAAATTTCAAGTATTCTATTTAAAATTATATTTCGCCATAATTAAACAATTAAACTTTTCAACTTTTGATCTCACCAGATTTTTTTGCAATTTTTTATGATATAAAATATTTATAGTTTTTACTATTAATTCTTTTAATTAAATTAAGTATAATTCCCACCGGATGTGGAATTTATAATGTGACAAACAAGCAACAGCAACGTGTGTACATACGTATATATATTTTCACTCTGACAATGGTTAGTCACTTCACTTGAAACATTTTCGTTCTTCATTACTATCAGTAAAGTTAATTAATATTGTTAAGTATTGTTAATTTTTTCAACACGATAAAACGCAAAAAGGATACCTTAATACGTATCTACGTATTTTGAAATAATTTCCACGATATTAATAAATTAATTATTTAATGAAAGACCTTTAATTGAAACCGATTTAATTGATCAACCGTATTTTATTTTCTTGAAAATTTTAACACTTTTTATTGATAAAAAATGAAAGACGATGAGAAAGTAGTGTGCGGAGGGCCAGCACTTCTTGTGCCAGCCCATTTGTCATTTGGGCAGCACTTTCTGGATAGAATCAGAGAAATCTGTTTAAGACAAGACGGCGTGGCACTGGTAAGTGTTATTTTTTATTTGATCCCAACAGACATACATATTAATGATTCATTAGCGGGATAACTTTAAAGAAAAATATTATTTTGTTTTGTTAAATTTCCTTTATTATCGCGAAGACTGACAACTCAACTGCTACTGCCGAAATTGGCTATCGTCGTTTAACGACACATGCAATAAAAAAAATCACTTAAAATTTCCTTTAAAAAAATATTCTCTTTATTAAGGAAACAAAATGACTCCCATTATCTTAAGGTAGAGCTTTGATTTATTTCTCAAAATACTCCAATATTGAACCTTATTCGAAATATCAGCTCCAAGATACTTTCGGCAGTTCGCAAAGATATTTCTTGAAGAGATGGCGAGTTAAATTATTTTTCGGTTTAATTTTTTTTTTATTGCCCTTGTAAACAGACGAGCATACGGCCCACCTGATGGTGAGTGGTTACCGTCGCCCATGGACTTCAGCAATGCCAGGGGCAGAGCCAAGCCGCTGCCTACCGCAGCCTACCTACTCGTGGCAGCCTAGGGCTACGGAAACCAGCACGAGGTGCGCGTCGAACATGTGCCGCGATTCGCGGCGCCGTATGTACTATTTTAACAAAATATCATGCAATCACTCACCGGAACCGATGCCTTCGTCTTCTCACGCCGTATCACTTAGGGAGAAGGGTATAGGGCAGGAATGGATAAGGATTAGCGATGATACAAAACTTTAGCGTAGACCGTCAATATACAGGTACCGTCCCGTTCGAGAAGCAAGACAAAATAACAGATGTCAAATCGCGACGGCACCGTCAAATCGCGACCCGTGTTGCCGGGTTAAAAATTCAAAACTAACGGATTGGTTTCGAACATATTTTATATACATTACAGATTGACTATCACACTGGACATAAAGTAAGCTATAAGGAATTACTAGAAGAAACCGTCAGTGCCGCCGTCGGATTACAAAGTATGGGCCTAAATCGAGGAGATGTCGTAGGTATATGTAGTGAAAACCGACCTGAATTTGTTACCGCTGTGATGGGCGCTATATGTTGTGGCGCGGTTGTGACCGTCCTCAACCCGCAATACAACGCAGGTTATACAAAGTTAATTTTAAAAATTCTATTTTTTCATTAAGGCTCGAAACTAATTTCTGAAAATCTATATTGTTTCTTTTGTAGATGAGATACAGCACGCGTTGAATATTTCATTGCCAAAACTTATTGTAGCTTCAGAGAACAGCTTAAAAAAACGTATAGATGTTTTTAAATCTATGTCATTTATACATAAGTTGATTCAACTTAATGGCGAACCAGTAGAGCGTGATGTCAATTCGTACAGCTCATTGCTGGTGCCAACTAATTCCAACACGTATGTTCCGGTGGAGGTGAACGGTACTGATACCGTGTTTATTTTCTACTCTTCTGGTACTACCGGTCTGCCCAAGGGAGTCATGCTCAGTCATCTTAACGCTTTGTATGTCTCCTCTTCTCTTGAGTAAGTATCTATGAACCCAACATTTTTTTCTATCGTTAATGGGTTATTTACAGATGTGACTTTCTCGCTTCGCAGCGCTTAATAAATTGCAACTTGTATTCATATAACTATATTTGTCATCGAAGCGACGATATCAGTAACTTTTCTTTCACAATAAAATCTGAAAACTATCGAGTTGGTTTTAGTGTTTAAAATATGCGATTTTTTATTACAATTACTACATTAGAAGTTCATAAAATATTAATTGAATAATCGATTAGTTAATATCATTCAAATCACAACCATTGCTTTTTAGCTTCTTTACCGTTGTACGTTTATTTTTTCATTGTGCTGATTCATTTGATTTGTGTTGTTTTAGTTTTGGATATACTCGGGAATCATGTACAAGGTTCTTATCAATTTTACCCATGTGCCACATTTTTGGATTATTTAGTGCGATACACTATTTAGCATGTAATAAATTATTGATTTCGATGGTGTATTCACCTGTAGATTATTTAAAAGCCATTCAGGAATATAAGGTAACTTTACAGTTTGTTGTTTCAAATTACAAAAACTTTACTATAAACCAGTTTTCAACATTTAATTTATTTCGCAATAGGTAAACGTTTTGATAATAGTGCCGCCAATCGCTGTTTTTCTATCAAAGTCTGAACTCGTCCAAAAGTATGACTTATCTTCAGTGACTAGAATTTGGTGTGGTGCAGCTCCACTCAGTGAAGAGACGGCTGTGGGGGTTTTAAGGCAGTAAGTTTTGGTGATATTTACTTACTCCTACATTAATGGGTTTAAAGAAACCTCAGATTATCCGACTACTCAGTGTGCCTAGTACATTTTACGGTAGCCTTATTGTTTGCACACAACAACTTGTTATTTTATAGACTCGGATCGTTGTTGGTCTCCAGTGTAGATGTGGTCTAGTATGTATGCGTCGTCCGGACGCGTAGCGTAATGTGGTATAAAGGTAAGTAAGTACCTGAGTAGGCGGCGACGGTGTTCGGTTAATAAATTAAATACGACACCTTGCACACTAATCAAATGTTTATTAAAAGTTACACTTAGTCCACATCAGAATACAAAATAGTCTATATTATTATAATTATGAAGAATTGAAGGTTACGAGCACAGATAGATATTCAGTTTATAAACAGTACACAGAAGACACTTTACACTTTACGACAATACTACTACGATAAACACAAAGAAAGCGTGTTATCAAAATTGAGGCAAAAGCTTCGAAAACAAGAAACAGTATACAATAAGCGATAGCGACGTGCGTTCAGTACGAGGTAAGTTTCGACTGGGGGCGTGGCTAGCTGCGATCAGCTGCGCAAGAGTATATTTTCCAGCTACCCGCGACATTCCGTTCAAGAACGCGTGTCCACAGCGCAAACGAACGGGCGACCAGCTGATTAACGCGGTACGATAAATTGTCGTGTGTGTATGTCTGTTTTATATGTAATGTAGTAATAATATATTAATAGATATGTTATATGTGTGAATGTATATTCTGTGTGTATTAATAATTATATGAAATAAATATATTATATAAGTTTTATATTGTGAAGAGTATATGTGTGTGCATGCAATGTGGGATAAGCCTACACTTTATTTGCGCACGAAGCTATCTTATTGTTTTCTGATTTTTAGCTGATTTTTGAGCTTAATTTTGAATCTGCCTTATCTCCGGCGCTGCGGGAAGAGCAGCCCTTCCGCCCTTGCGTGCCGAAGCACGGTCATTTGTGCTCCGCTTCGTAGCTTCGGCTTGTTGATTGGTTGGCACTGTTTCCGTGCTCCGTCACAGCGGGCGAGGACTGCTCTCCCTCCGCGCCTCCAGTTTTTATATACACTCTAGGGGTAGGGCAGACAAGACAGGTGGACAGTGGGGTGCTCTGATTCGCTTTTCCTCAATAATTTAGGTTTAGGTTGTCCACACTTGCTAACCATTAAATTTTTGCCGCGGTGGCGTTAATACGTAAGTACCCATTTTACTTATGTTGCAATTTATTCTGAAAAAATCAAACACCAAATTTTTCGGGTTAAAAAGAAGCTCATGTCTCTTTTTCCGGCTATTTTTCGACTTCTCATTTATTTGAGACTGAACTTCTAAATGAAAATTTATCGTAATATTTTCAAGTGCTTTATATCCAAAAATTTTGTAATAGAATAATATCTAGTTAGTATGACAATAGTTAGGGTAAACAATCAATAAATAGATTCAAAATGATAGCAATCCATCATCGTTTTCAGCAGTTATAAATATTTTATGAACAGATATGAATAGAAGGGTTATTTTGATAATATCATGAAAAACACCCCACGCTTTTTTTACAATAAAATCATTTTTTCTTACACTATTTTGAATTCAAATCTATTAAGATTTATTTTCTATTTTTTAGTGGGATTTTTTATAAAAGCGTATTTTTTTTGTTTTTTAAACTATTATTTATTTTTCATTTTTAGATGAATTTTCTATAAAAGCGTATTTTTTAGTTTTTTTAAATTATTATTTATTTTTCATTTTTTAGTTGAATTTCAATTTTTTCACTTTTTATTTATTTATTTTTTTTGTAATATTGAATTGTCCTCGGTCCTTAATAAGTATACCAAATTTCGAGTTAATCCGAGTTTTAAAGGGGGGTCAAAATAATGTTCAAAGATTCCATTACATACATACCAACACATTATACATACGTCTGAAGCTAATAAAAGCGTATTAAAAATTAAGCAAAATTAATGAAACTTTGGACTAATAGGTACCTATTTCATTTCACTGAATTCACAGTTTAAAGCGATAGAGTAACACATTTTCTGTTCCCCGTCTATTAAAATTGACATTTTGTTCTTTAACAGTTTCTCGAACTGTCAGAAGATAATCCAAGGCTACGGAATGACAGAAACATCTTTTGCAATAATGAAAAGCTATGATACTTTGGACAGCGAACAAAAGCATGGAAGTTGCGGACACGTCATACCTGGCATGAAAGTTAAGGTTAGCTTAAGTCCTCATAAAATCTTTTCATTTCCCCATCCGAGTCATCATTTCAACATCATTTGAAGTTTTGCAATGTCAAGTAAACTTAGTATGCTGATGCCTTTTTCGCCTAAAATAAACCAACAACCACCGACTAAGTTTCTCGCCGGATGTCCTCAGTGTTTTTTTTATTTTTTATGTTTGAAGGATTACTGGTGGCCCGGAGGCCTTTCCAGTTTCACCAGGGCGAGCAAAGGCTCAACCAGGAGGGGTGGGATTTGCTAACAGCTGCCCGAGCGCCTCATAAGGAGGCCTAACAACTCAAGAGCAGCTGCTTCACGAATGAATCTACTACCGGATCGGAATCGCGGACCGCTGAGAAGATCCGGCGAGAAACTCATAGAGAAAGATAGAGAGACAGAGACAGAGAAGTCAATATATCCTAATACATGTCTCACTCAGTCTCATGCGCGTGGATAATGCCCTCGCGCTCTTACCCACAGATTCTAATAAAATTGAATTTACGGTGGTAGATTCAGTGCAGCTGCTAGAAACGTCTCCCAGGCCGAACCCCGTTAGTGCACCACCCAGTACGAAGACAGAATAGCCCCTTGAGACTACTGGCAATTAGGTAGACAAAATTACCTTAAGCCAAGCGCCTTATTCGAGACCTTTAGCAAATTGTAATTTTGCAGGTTTGATTTTTATTACACGATGTTATTCCTTCACCGTGGAAGTCAATCGTGAACATTTGTTGAGTACGTATTTCATTAGAAAAATTGATACCCGCCTGAGATTCGAACACCGGTGCATCGCTCAACACTAATGCACCGGACGTCTCTTAACCTTTAGGCCACAACGACTTCAATTAATAAAACTAACAGACTATGCACGTATGAACGAGTGTATTTATCACAAACATTCTACTTTCTGTACTAGAGACTGACTGTGGAAGTATTTTTGTTCATACAATGATACGACATTACTTTACATACTGTACAATACAAACAGACTACCATATCATATTAATACATTTGTCATTTGAGAGACAGGTAGCGGAATTGACGTTGTGATATCTACAGGCACCGGAAACCACTAGAACCTGGTAGGTCGTTAGCTCGTCTGTCATCTGCGATTTTTAAAAAAGTGTCACTATCTCCACATTTTGCCCACTGATTTTTTTTTTTTTTTTGTTTCGGAACTATACAAGGGATTTAGTATTTTTTTTAATAAAAGTAGGAATCTAAATCTCGAGGCGATTTGATCGAAATTCGGTTATTAGATGAACACTTATAATTATTATAAATTGCATATTATTAATTATACCCAAACACATGTTGGAAATTTTGGTATTATTTTAACATTTTTAATGATAAAACAGCCTATCAGACTTATTATATTCTAAAACATTTTGTTGATTTTAATATTAGCTTTGTTTCAAATACGTTTGTAATTTAATATAATTGTAACTTGCGTTTTAAATTTATAATGAGCAGAAGATAAAACTTCTTATTTGAATCTAGATACATTAAATAGACAACGGCAGGTACATTGGTAAAGTAAACATTCAATAAAAATTAAAATTAATATTTATGAACCTATTTTGATACAGAATGATTAATTTGAATTAATGGTACGCAGGGACACATAAATAAGTAATAAGTATTGTTTTTTCCCTTTCATTTTTCTGGTATTTGCCCATCACTCTATCTCCTACCATTCAATTTTTTTTTTGTTTAGATAGTTGGACGACTTCAAGGTCACCTGGTGTTAAGTTACCACCGGACTCCATAAACATTAATAACGTAAATGATTAAAACCCAAGTTGAAACATGAACTCTAAGTATCAGTTTTAAAGTACATCAGTTGCCCCACTGACAAAACTGACAAAATTTGTTTAGTACAGAGTAGCAATTTAATAAATCCGAATGACTTATTTTATGCCCAAAGCTCTACATAAACTTATATATTAGGATACAGCGTGGGCATTATCCGGCTTCAGAGTTAGTTTGGTGGGATGTTGGCTATCAAAGAGTGAATAAATCACATTTGTGAAAAATGTATCGGAACTCAGAGAACTCAGAGAAAGGCTCAGGTGTAACAATACAATTTTTGAGCAGACTCTTTTAACGACATCATATTCCATTATCAAATATGGCTTATTCAATGTGACTCAGTAGGTATCGGGTCGTAAATCTCGATCCATACAAAGTTTCTGACTCGATCATAAATCATCTGAGCTGAAGATAGGCAGTCGTCGTCATTTTTGGAGGTATTTTTATACCAAAAACAATGGAAATAATAAAATGACAAATAAATAAAAAATAGTATCTTATCTTATCTTATCATATACCTTTAAACGAGCAATTCTTGCATATTAATATATACTTATATAATCTGAATCTCGGAAACGGCTCCAACGATTTTCATAAAATATAGTATACAGGGGATTTCGGGGGCGATAAATCGATCTAGCTACGATTTATTTTCAGAAAATTTTGTTTTATTCGTCAACTCTTCCCGACATCTATTGGCGAATAATAATACTATTTTTCTTAATTGAGGGCAACTAACCGCTTTAAAGACACAACAAGATGGCGTTATAAAAAAAAAACCGAGTAAAGCTCGGTCATCTTCTAGTAAATTAAAGTTAGATAGATCTGAAAATTAATATCTAGCTAGTCCATGAGTTTGGTGGTGGACATACAAATTCTATTTAACGAATCTCTAAAATTGCAGGTCGTTGACATTAATACTCGACAAAGATTAGGATCGTATGAACGAGGTGAAGTCTGCGTGAAAGGACCCCTGGTGATGAAAGGCTACATGAATAACGATCAAGCTAATGAAGATATAAAGGACGATGAGGGTTTCCTGAAAACTGGAGATATCGGATATTATGATTCAGACGGCTGTTTCTACATAGTCGACAGACTGAAAGAACTTATCAAATACAAAGGACATCAGGTACATAAATCTGATCCTTTTTAAAAAATAGTTAGTTATTGTGTATATAAGTGTATATTATTTTTGTTGTTAAATGCATATTTGTTAAAACCTCAGCGGGGTCAGCAGTTTGGATGAGTCGACAAATTAATGATCTTCCACAGAAAGGTTTAAACTACTGGGTCGACCGTTGGTCCGAATGCTATTATTGTTCGGAACTTATAAATACGCAATTTCGTCTTATCGTTAGCGTAAAGTTATTATCATTACAGAGCACAGCTTACACTTTAAATGAGAATCGTTTCACAAAAACTAGGTAGCTCCAGCAATGATAGAGCGCGTACTGCTGCAGCACAGCGACGTGTTGGAGTGCGGAGTGGTGGGAGCGCCCGACGAGTTGGCTGGCGAGCTGCCCACCGCCTTCGTAGTGCCCAAGCCTGACGTCACGCTCACAGAAAGAGAACTGCTAGACTTCACTAATGAACGGGTCAGTAACATAGTAACATTGCCTAGATGGGTGGACGAGCTCACAGCCCACCTGGTGTTAAGTGGTAAGCCCTTGGACATCTACAATGTAAATGCGCCACCCACCTTGAGCTGTAATGTCTCAGTATAGTTGCAACGGCTGCCCCACCCTTCAAACCGAAACGCATTACTGCTTCACGGCAGAAATAGGCGGGGTTGTGGTACCTACCCGTGCAGAAGCACCAGAGATCCTACCACCAGTGTAAAAGGCTACTATAAACAAATAACAATTATCGTAAATTGTACAGCCTACTTACTCGAACACTATCCTGTTACACAGCTTCGGCGACCAGTTCGTACAGAGCATGTTTCTGAATCCTGAAAATGAGAACACGAAAAACTGTGTTCGAGAGAGTACATTACACACACAGAGTAATTACACATCACTAAATTTTTTTGAAACGTACCTTTCGCTGTAAATAGTGATGTGTAGAGAGCGGGCTTGTACAACCTAGGTACAAAATAGGTATAAACCTACCAAAACGATCTATACTAAAATTAGTTTAAAAACTATTTCACATCAAGTTAGTAATATTGGTAGTAGTATAAAATAGTACTTTATTACCTTATCGATATCATGAACGACTCTCTTGCACCCTGGATATGGTTGTGTGATTTGAATATTTTTTTCCAGTTATCCCCAATCACGCGAATACGAGGAGGTATATTCTTCGTGAGGGAAATCCCAAAGAATGCAACCGGAAAAATACTACGTAAAGTACTTAAAGCTAATTTAATAGCAAATAAATGAAATTGGTATATAACAAAAATGTGGATCATTCTATATTAAATTATTATATAAGTAATTGTTTCATCAATTTCAGAAATAAAAAGCTTTTTTTAATTCAAAATCATGATTCATTACGTTACCTAATCTCCCCTGTGACTTGAAAACAATGTACAACGACATAGTCATTACTTAAATTAGATGTAGTACTTAGTCTATTATAGTAATAGCTTTCAAAGCTCCGCAACAAGCAGTCCAATAAAGCTATGATTGATAGCAGACCAACGTATAGAAAGGCGTGTACCTACGCAGTACGTAGGGGCATAATATGTACTTACGCTTACGCACACCACAATGTTGGCACAATATTGCGGACATCCAATTAAAATTAATGGATAAATTCTCAAGTGTATCATCGAATGAGGTCGGAACTTAAGCTTTCTTCAAAATTAGCATTTGTACGTGTAATTTGTTGTAATTATTTTATACTAGTGGTCCCCCAGTAGTCGAAATTCGGCTATAATTAATTGAAATTATAAATTTGAACATTATTATGGTTCTATTGTCAAAGATATTATAGATTATACCATAGATTATACAATTAATATATTTGAGAGATTATACTACTATAATCACAGATTTCATTAAGACTACGTACACCATAGATAAATAACATTAAAGACAAACAATATTCATCTGTTCTCAATTTGACCACAGATTTTAAATAATAACAAAAAATTGACAATTGACAATAAATAAAGAGTATATATATGTATGTGTTGTATCAAATACGTCATGGTAGTGCGTGTAAGGTTGTTTTTTATTGAATGTATTTTTAGGCATAATTAAAAAAAATACAATCTGCATCGATATTCTCTATAAGCGTGGGAAATTTCATATATCTAAGTAAACGATTTCTAGAAAACGTCTGGAACGCATTGTCTGTTTTTAATGGTTTTTGAGCAAATAAAATTAAAGATGTCTGAAAATTTTACAAGTTCACACTGTTAAAACTTAAACAACACAACGTCATTCGGGTGGGATAGATATACATATATTCCTTATATGCAATATCTCCATTCTTCAAAAGCTCGGTATTAAGCAGTGCCTCATCAGTGTATAATTTCGTGGACATGTGTCCCGGCGAGGAAATGACTCCATAAAGCGCGTAGAAGGCACCAGACCACGTAGAAGGTTGGCCATGCGATGGACCGACAAAGTCAAGCCCGCAGTTGACGGCTATTTACATGAATGTACCACACTCACCATAAACCAAAAGAAAAGGCGAGTGAGCGTTTAACATCTGCCCACTGCAACGATACTTTTTTTTTATTGCTTAGATGCGTTGACGAGCTCACAGCCCACCTGGTGTTAAGTGGTTACTGGAGCCCATAGACATCCAGAACGTAAATGCGCCACCCACCTTGAGATATAAATTCTAAGGTCTCAATTATAGTTACAACGGCTGCCCCACCCTTCAAACCGAAACGCATTACTGCTTCACGGCAGAAATAGGCAGGGTGGTGGTACCCACCCGCGCGGACTCAAAAGAGGTCCTACCATCAATACTGAATGACGATCACGACCACTCTGACAAGAGTGACACGACACACGAGATATAGTATATGTCGGCGTTAAGCCAGGATTTACACACATAAGTTCTTTTACAATGAAAATACAATACAATTCTATAAAACTTTAACATTACTTGTTTACAACAAAAAGCTACGCCTGAGTTATTCAGTGGTTTTTACACAATTAGCCATTTTGTGTTGGTTATAGCAACTACAACTTCTTTTATACAAACAAATGTAATTACTGCGAAACAATTCACAAAACATAGCTTAATATTCAAAATACATATTTTAGTGATTTTACATGACTCACATTTAATTTATTTTACATGAATTACTTTTAAGTAATATTAACTAACATTGTTATTATCCAGCCTAATAATAGATGGCGCCAACAACATCATTGCATAACAACTACAATACTTAATTAAATTATTAGTACTGTTAATTATAATATAAATTATTATTAATATTTATGCTTTATTCATATTTAATCATTTATACAGTTATTTGTGTTTTTAAACAATAATATAAACATTAAACATATTCTGAACATTTTCACATCAAAACAGTGTCTGCTAATTATTAAATATGGTAGAATAACAGTTTTGTTGCTAATAATAAATAAATATTAACATATAATAAACTAAACTATATATTATTATGTTAATTATTGCCAACAGTGGCGTTTGCGCCCATATATACATTCCAGTTGTCCAATAGGCACACTAAACTTGATTGATTATCATAGATTGATTTCGTTTACACTTAGCATATTGTAGAGATTAACGGCCGTCTGGTGTAGTGGTAAGTGACACGGTCACTACACAAGAGGGTCGTGGGTTCGAATCCCGCCAAGGGAAGATATTTTTATGATAAATATAAATGTCTTCTCCAGGGTTATGGATGTATATTAAATATATGTATGTGTATAATAAAAATCTTACATTTATTTCCGTTATCTGGTACCTGTAACACAAGTTCTTTACGAACTTAGCACGGGACCAGTTAACGTGACGTGATTGTTAGTAAATATTTATTTATTTATCTTTACGTGCTTCAGATCATATTATTATCAGAACATATCGTAAAAAACAATTTTGAATGTTATATTTTCATGCACGTAGGTGCCATATATACATCTCTCGCTTATTCTGCGAATTGCGATATTAACGATCTTAACACATTTGTATGGCTTCCACTTACCTAACATGAACTAGTCTTGTGGTCAGTCTTCGTGTAATAGATAATTGGGTCAAGTAAACATATTCTTGGACTTTTTGACCATTTGAGTTTTTATAACGAAAGAAAAAAGAAATTCTTTCTATATCTTAGCTATACAATAAAATTTCTCAGCCTTTAATCTCGCAAATAGCTTTAATTCTTCTTCGTCTTAAAGTTAAGTGAAATCCAATCCATTAATAAAGTTCTCTAGCAATGTTTTGAGCTTTAATAATGAAATTAACGTGCTACCCTTAATTGATATAAAAGTGATGGGTATTTCATAATTGATTTCTTATGAAATGAAGTATAATCTAGAGACCTAACTAACTGCAAAACTCATCTAGTTTTGCTCACTTTATTTATTTAATTGGATATACTTGCGTAGATACACAATTGATTGTCGTAAAAAAACCCTATTTAAATGCAACTTTTTAATTGAATATGTCCACTAAAATTAAATATTACTTAAAAGTTATTTGAAGGCGTACTTACATTTTCGGCGAAGCATTAAATTTAATGGACGCTCGTCTATCGCGATCATAAATCCGTGACGTATAAGGCTGATCAGTTTAGCAAACGCGATCGGCAGCAGTCCGCGCGCCGGACGTCATCGCTCCGCCGCCACACTCGCAACTCCCATCCGCCGACACCACACGTGGATTACGCGGGCTGTCTTATTCATTCACCCGGCATCAGTTCAGAAAAACATGTAGCCAGGGCACAATGTCAGTGTGCGGCAATAACGGTCACTCAGAAGACAAAAACGCGACGGACGACGTTATCCCATCGGTTCACGATAATCACAAAGAGAAACCGGCGAGCAAGGTGGTGCGGGTGCTGACCGTGCTGGCGTATTTGCTATCGGTGTCCATGGCTGCGATACTGCTCTCCGTGTACTACGTCTGCGTCTGGAAGTCTCCCGAGCTGCCGCCCCTGAATGATACGGGCAAGCTAAACGCCCGACGAGCACCACCGCCACACCATAGCATTATCATGGAAAGATTACAATCCTCGGGTAAATATTCAGTAAGAGCGCTAAAAACGAAACTTGCGTAAATTTTGACAATTTTTTTTTTACAATTTGTTGATTAATAAAAATTATGACCGACATATTCTCTTATGTTATTCAAATAACAATAAATATTAGAGTTCCAAAAATCTAAAAACATATTTTAATTGTATAAATTTCCGCAAGTGAAGTTTTCTAAAATTGCGTTCAAATTATAACTTATGTGAAAGTAAGATGATCAGCTGAATGATCTTTGTCGGGAAAGAAACATTATTTAAAAAAAATTGAGGCAAATTGAAGGTTGCTTGCACTTTTTAATATAGTGATAACCGTGTCACTATTTTGCGGGAAAAAGCCATATCACTTTCCGGTTCATAAACTATATACCTAACTAAATATTCTCAAAATTTGTGCCAAAAACTAATTTTTTGTTACCTACCCATTTAAATATTATACATGAAATATAAATTCTAAATCTTAAATCTTTCTAAATCTAAATCTTAAATTCTTAATCTTAAATTTAAGACTACACTCCATATACATATAGGTAGGTATCAGGCGATAGGATCTTAAATGATACATTTTATTGATTATTAATCAGAAGAGACAAGTATGCGACACAAATTATTTCGAGCTTCTCCATCATCCATCGGCACACTAGCATTCTGGTCAATTGCTATGATGAGTAGTGGTGGTAAGGCGTGACGCGACATATTATATGAACCCGCTTTATTGAAATCAACAACCTTAGAATTTAAAGGATGTGACAACCAATGTCCCAAAGCAACTGACCGAATCTAACAGTAAACGCAGAAATGAGCTCGTCTATGTTAATTGAAAAAGTAGGTACTTCATTTTCGATTTCATTACTAGCTCTATGCTTAATTAACTTAGGGCCTACATTGTTTTACTTTTAATTTTATTGAATCACAATTAATGCCCTTGAATGTGTGTGGTAATGTGTGGTAGTGTTCATTACATTACATGTGTTGAATAGTCGAAGTTTATTTACATTTCATTCAAACATATTTTATTAGATCATTCATACTTTTAAATCATACGTCTTCTAACATTACTTATCGAAATACGCTCTGTTTTTACTGGTCGTTGAATGTGTTCTGATTCCATACGAGTTAATACGACCGTCTTAACTATTTCTGAACAAACACTTAAGAGGCAAGTGTGTGTTCACAATACGAACTTAGCGCGGTTAGCAGACAATGAAACTGCAGTTTGTCCCTAGTGCAGTCATTGGCTTGTGCCTAGCGCGACAGATTGAACGAATTAATCGGTGCCGTTTTTAAAGTTCCTAAATCCCAGTTACTGCCAAGGTAACCACACACCTAAGGAACTAGAATCCAATTAGTAATACTTGATTATACTCGTATGACTCGTATCAAACCGTAGCGTTCTGTCGTTTGATTTCATTGACATTTCGTTGTACAATGATGATGGATAATGACGAATTTATTAGTGTTAATTAATCTAGACCTAGAGGAAGTGTGAAAGTAACCCCGATAATTAACAAATTATAGAGCGGACGGTTAGCGTGGTATGGACATGTGATGCGTAGAGAGAAGGTGCATGTGACTAGGAGATGTATGGTAATGCAAGGTAGAGGGGAAAGAGGTCGACCGAAGAAAACATGGATGGAGTTTGTGAATGACGTTATGAGAGAGAGAGAGAGAGAGGATTGAGTGTTGAGACGACGACCGATAGAAGAGAATGGAGTAGAGACACTAGCTGTGCCGAACCTACTTAGAGGGATAAGGTGGAGAAAAAGAAGAAGAATCTAAACCTATATCATGGATTTTACTGATTATAAAAGTTTTTCTGTTTTTATTCATTTCATGCCAACGATTTCTTGGACTTAAACACCTCCCATCTCAGGATAAATATCACAACACTGTACGTTAAAAGAGCGGCGCCCATTTCACTCCCGTCTCCGCCTAAGTCACCACGTATTATTTGTGGACGCATACAAAGTAATCTTGAGTTCCGGTCTAAAGGATAACAACCATGGTTTTAATGAAAACTAGACCTCTGGCCCATAACTATAGATGGGCGGGATTTTTGTGCAGCCAGTATCTATCGGCTTTAATAAACGTTGAACATCAATAAGTCAATTCGCCAATAAAACCAATAATAAGAAAGTGTTTACTTTCAAACATATTAACTGTAGCGTTATGTAATCGCACTATTCATACTCCAATTCAAGACAGTAAGACACAGGAGAAACAAAAAGTACCATATCTATATAAAAAATCGTCTAATTTAGAGTTTCATATTTGCTGGGTTCAAAATTATATTATAATAAATAGCTAGGTACAGCTCGCAACGTTACACTACAGGATTATTTAAATACCCTGAGAATACTAGTAAACAAGACTCAGTGAGTACCTACACAAAATTACTTAAGTGTTTCCGTGTCATTTAAACTTAGAATACTAACCATATAGATTAACATCCTTTTATTTTATTGTTATTTCTTACCCAAACGTTCCATGATAAAAATTACAAACACTATTATTAGTCAAAGTATTAGCTCAAATTAGATAGAGTCTTTAAATATAATAGATAGCATATTTCTTATTTAAATTAAATCTTTATCACAATATATTACAACACAAAAACAAATGACTCGTAAATAGTATGATTTACAAAAACAAGTTTTATTAGGCAAAATATGGTAATTATTTACAAACTATCTAATACTACTATCTTTAGCATGTAAAAATTTTGTTGACATAATTAATGAATTTATAATATAAATGCACAGAGTTCATATTTTAAGAAAGCAATATAAGTCAAATTTACAGTTTAAGATATTTTCTAAGCGTTTTTAAAGTAACACAAATGACGAATGTGTAAACAAACTGTAAAAAATAAAACAAAACGACAAAATCCCTTTGCGTATCTATCTGTGATGATTCGAAAAACTAACACAGAAAAAATCCTGAAACATTGTTTTTTTTTTCAAACTGGATATATGGCACTCATTCAGGTTCAAGGTAATCTGCGGCATCCTCGTTGATTTTATTGCGTTATAATGCTGTTAATGTAAATAAATCTTCTCTATATTTCAAGACCGTACCTCGTCCGTAACATTGTAGTTATTTGAATTTTAAATTCAGTTTGCTGTTACCTTTGACGTCACCTTTCTACAAAAGTCCACTGGTCTTCATGATAAGAAAATTAAAATAATTCGATGAACTAAAATTTCAATGGCTTAACAATACAAAACATAAATAATTATGAGGATTACCTAATAGGGTTTCATGTAATCTAATTAGTTTAACTCAATTGTGTCAGAACCGCGAGCATTAAATATTTGTATTGTTTTACTATGATGATTTTTAATATGTAGCTTGGTGAACATTTTAATCAATCTACTTAAAACAATAAGACGTATTAATGTCTATAAATAATTTATTGAAGAATGCGGTTTACACAACTAGAGATAGCCACTAGTATTTTTAACTTAATTGCAGCCATATTATGTCCTATCATTCCCGATCCTGCGGACAGAATGGAAAGCAGTCGACGTCGCCCAAAATACGTCATTTCGGATCCTCCCGATCCACTAACGGTGCTTTTAGGTACCTCAAACACCGGTCATCGTTCTCGTCAAACCCGAAGGGCCCGACGAGTAAATTAACCCACAGACACAGCCCACTGAGTTTCTCGCCGGATCTTCTCAGTGGGTCGCGTTTCCGATCCAGTGGTAGATTCTGCTAAACACGGCTCTTGCTAGGGTTCGTGTTAGCAACGTCGTCAGGTTTGAGCCCCGTGAGCTCACCTACTAGTTAAGGTTACGCTGAAATAGCCTCTCAAGCTAAACTATCAGCTTAGGTAGGAAAAAAAAGTACTAAGTTTAGTTTCAAGTTTGTTTTGAAGCATCACAGTCTACAATTATAAAATAAAATATGACACCGCATTTCAATATATCAAACTGAATTAATAGATTTTAGAATATATTATTCAGAATTCTTGAAATCATTCATCTAAAAAATAATAATAGAGGTCGTACCTGAAGAAAGGAGCATGATATGAGATACAATAATATCGGAGTTCAAAGCCCGCAGGAAGGAAATGCGTATCTTACACGTGCTTAAATCTTTCTTCATGTGAGAATAATTCGTTTAATATGACAAATGATAAAACGCTCAATATGTCAAAAGATGTTTAATATTAGTGGTAAGGCGTACTGTGAATCCACACGGAAACCTATCTCTTCTGCTTTCTGCTCCGAAGCAATCGTTTATTGTAGGCTATAACTACAACCGAGGCTTCAACTTATTAAATCGTGAGCTGTTTCACGAATCCAAACCAAAATAGGTACACCAGACAATGTTAGTACGGGATTTACACGAAACGCTGCAAATTGCAAATTGCAAGCTAAGGAAATTTTCAGTACACACCCGGTTAAAAAATAAATATGTAGAAATAATTATATATTTATTTGTCGCTTTAAAGGAGGCTTCCTAAAAAGACTTGGATGGACCGTATGAAAGAGATTATGCCAGAGAAGGGTGTGAGTGCCGAAATGATGTGTGATAGACTCGAATGGGATAGTGGAATATAGTGGGATAAAGACAAGAAAAAGATGATTTTTTTCCTCGTTAACTGCACTTTCACGTTTTTAATGTTTATTACCAACCAAACCAACAAAACAACTAAATTATTTTTTAGCTTAGAAAATTAAAAAAGTTTATTTTATTCAACAACGATGCATGGCATGAGGCTTATTGCAAGCGTTCATATTTAAATTAAGCGGTCCCCGAAAGCATTATTAAAATTTTTAGTAGACTAGAAAGGTCACATCGGACTTCTATACTTCCTAGGAGATTATTTTTATAGTTACAATTTAGTATTTATGTACAATAAAAACAATTGACCGTTGAAAATTTGTTATTGATTTGTAGAGGCGCGCGTATCGACCGTCCGAATCATGGCAACGCCACGCGCCGTCGCGGCCGCCAGCCCTCACGGGCGCGACGCCCTCGCGTCAATTCCGTCGCGCACCGTCACAATAACGTGCCACCCTTAACTAAATTAACTTTGTTTACTTATTGTTATACCTCGACCTCTCTCAAGCACACACAATAATCAATGTGAGGGTTCGTTCAATTTACCTACGATTTACACAAAAGTTGATAAACTCTAAACTCGATAAAGTTGATGTTAACGTTATGAGACTGTGATGTATGAGTGGAAAAACACATTTTTTTTGTTAGTGCTGCAAAGAAGCATTAATGAAAACATAATCACTCGTTAACTGAAACAATGAAAATTCAGGGACGGAAGCGTGAGAGACGAATCGCGATCGTACGGCTACGTCAGAAGAACTGGAATAGATTTACGTATACTAAACGTGAAATTAAAGGATAAACAAATGAAGTTCGAAGCGAGCGCCATAATAATGAAACAACAGTCCGCACCAAGAGGTGTCAAACAGCAGACACGGTCGGCGTGACCCGGCTCTGAACTGGGGCATACTTATCGATAAGCGTGCCCTAGTTAACCGGATTCGCTGCGGAGACGTTGCGGCAGTGCATTTCGGTGAAGATCGTCGAGGAAGATGTCGAGCAAGTCGTTCACGTCCGGTAGCATGCGGTCGTGCGCGGGCTCGATGCGACTCGGCACGACCTCCGGGCACGAGCTCGTGTTCGACTCACTCTACGAGCGGAAACGCGACAAGAAAAGTGTCCGCGTGCTAACTGTCATCATTTATGTGTTCTGCGTGTCACTCGCTGCGATAATGCTCTCTCTCTACTACGTCTTCTTCTGGGAGCCTAAGGACGCGCAATACGCGCAACGAAAGGTGTTACTTAATGTAGAGAAGCAAACCAGCACTACACCATTGCCCACATGCTTAATGCCCTACACCGGTAGGTTACACGCCAAACACTAATTTCAATGCTGATGTATTTATTTATTTTCACTAAATAACAACCCTTCTTTCTTAGTGCTCTATTAAAAACCTCTTTTTTCATTTTCCTTATAATTAAAAACCGTAAACGATTACAATACTTGTAAATTTTATTTCTAAAAATAACTCTAAATGCATCCAAATCTCATAGAGTTTAGCAAACTACAGAGCTATTGTTTAAAAGCACGATACTAAAACGATAACCAAAAATAAACTCCGAATCGACTTTAATCCGAATTTATACCTAATTTCAACGAAGGTTGTCAGCTGTTGTGAACTCCAGTGATATGATTAAAAAACTATACATTTTAAAGAACTTCTTACCGAAGCAAAATCTAAATAATATAAGCATTTCTGTGATAAGACGGTCAGGAATGCACGATGCTATATTTGATTTGTATGACTAACGTTTTCGCATTAACTTATCGGGGCAGTTTTTCATAGAATTCTCCACTTATTCTAAAACTAATGAATTTGTTAATTTTACGAAGTACCATAAATTAACGTTAAGAAATAAATAGTGAAATAAACTTTCAGCTTCATATTGATTAAAAGTATCCCAATCAATATCAATTTGTTTAACGTACCTACATTAATATTTTATTGCATTGTGTTGAAAAAAATGAAATGTTGTTTTTCAATATCAAATTCGCCCTTGCATTTACGCCATCACAGTATAATGGGTGTCTTTACCTATGTTATATACAACGGTCTTTTTTCATGATCGATTTTTTTTTATATCTTAAGAAATGAAAGATGTAGAAAATAATTTCGTCCATATCACTTTAGTTTATTACCATTTTGACTTCAGACAACTTTGTTTTTAACAAGTGTACGTCGCAGCGATGTCATTGTATTCATACTTAGTTAAAACAGGGATTAACAACTTGCTAAATAGGTACCTCTAGTTATTTTGTATAGTTAATCACAATAACCAGCTCTCGCGTGCTCACTGATCATGTTTATAACATATAAATCACAAACAATTTGGACCGGTTGCTCGAAATAGCACGCTGGTGCGCCGTATGGTTCTACCTGACGTGCCATTCCGAACATTATACGATTATAGCTTTGTAATTGTAGTGTATGTATATTATAACTGTTCCCGAGAACGAAGAAACGCAGTGATTGTGAAGAATCGAGTGCTTCTAGACAAGGCAAAATAAAATTTCCATCATTTAAAAAAAACGCAATGTTCTTTGCGCTGCTCGAAATACAGATACGAAATTTTTGGACTCCGCACATGGCTATAGGCGTCCATGGGCTGCTTTAGTTTTCTGGTTCACGAAATCTGAACTTGTTCAAACTGAATTAAATATGCAGAACAACGTTAGTATTCCTCTAGATTGATTTACCTTGACTAGTGTTAGTCCAGTGTTCGAAGTTCGAACATAATCACTTACATCTTCACACTTCACTCAGAAGATTCATTTTCATTTCATAAAAAAAGTTATGTACTACACTTACTATTCTTATTACTAGTGGTAGGACCTCTTGTGAGTCCGCACGGGTAGGTAGGTACCACCACCCTTCCTATTTCTACCGTGAAGCAGTAATGCGTTTCGGTTTGAAGGATAGGGCAGCTGTTGTAACTATACTGAGACCTTAGAACTCATATCTCAAGACGGGTGGCGGCATTTACGTTGTAGATGTCTATGGGCTCCGGTAACCACTTAACACCAAAATACAATTGAAACTTTTCCACCTTATCTTCTTTTATTTGATTTTATTGCTTCAAGTCCCTCCATAGATCCATACGTTTCAAACGATCTGCGAGAACGGGATTATCAACAGGCTCTCTTCTGTTTGCAGTCAAGGTCTGCAGCGGCCTTCACTTTTTTTTTCTAAGTATGGCTCTGTTAACCAGATAGGACCAAGTGCTTCCTGAGATCGTCTTACAACCATTGAACATAAAGCAAATAAAACTCTTCTCCAATTTTACAATATCGAAAAGTAACCTTTATCACAAGTTCATATTTTCAGTTTCCGCTGCGTCAGTGCGGTGACCTCAAAAGAAATTCAGGCCTTTATATGAAAGGCACCGGTACTTTTTGTGACACCTTTTTTTAAATAGAATTCACTATAGAGTTTGATTAGCTTTTATATCAACTCACGCGAACAGCGCTGTTCATATATGCTTATCACTATATTTAACTTGCACTAATAAAACCTTTACAATACTTTTGTAAACTTTTAAAGAACATACCTACTTATCGAAATAGTTACACATATAGTAATTCGTTGCAATTATAGTGATTTAGTTATTATAGTGATTTACCTACTTACTTACTGAATTCCTAATTCACTATAATTATTATCCATTCTAAAAATATATTGACTTCTACGATTCTAGCTCAACGATGTTTACATTAAATCTAGAGACGATTTAAAATAATTTCGTGAATATTTTAGTTTTTAGATTCTATCCATCAATCGCTTTATCTATTTTCAATCCAATACCACCTAACGTAAACATAATCGAGTATTAATAGAATCAAATTGGTAGATACGTACTCGCTTTGCAGTTCACTGAAATTCTTTTAAATATTTAGAAAATGAAGATATTTTTCACCGTTTGCATATACAAACATAAATAATTATTCCTGTGCTACATCAAACACGTCGTAAAAGTCTCGACCAAAGTTAATGATTTAGACGACTTGACAGACTAACAATTTACTGTGAGAATTTTATTTTGATGAATAACAACAATTTTCCTGTGATTGCAGGAGGAGGCGATACCCCAGTGAATGAACACACACCATTAACATCAAATAGCTTTACGATTCCCGCGAACGAGAGTGTTTCGACAACGCCAGCTAACCAAACTAACCAAACTATGAACGATATAGAAGATCTTACAGAATCTGTTTACCCAATCAACGGCACTACAAATGACACAGGCTCTTTCAATTATACCGAGAGCATCACATGACGACCAAATAGGGATCACATACAACAAATCAACGAGAAGACATTTTTGTAGCATTTATATTATTATAAGTTTTGTAATTTGTCCCAAGTGCCAAGGGTAGCACTGGAATTTAGAATGAATTTAAAATTCCAGTGTTATGGCAGAAGAAATAGAAACTTCAATATTTTTTGATAATTCTAAAAATGTACAAATATATTGAATAATGTATGGATTGTTTTCTGACGCTTTCAATAAATCAGTCTAACGAATGGTCAGTCTTCGTGTACATGTGAACCCAATACAGGTAATAACAGTAGGTCGCCTTCTTAATCTAGGAATTCGGATTAAACTTCCACTAGATGTCATATCATGTAACATGTACCGGAAGTGTTATCCGAATCTAATAACTTCGTTAAATATATTTAGGTATTATGATTACCGGAGTCTGTATGGTCTTGTATGTGTTTTCAAAGCACATAGCACGGGAGAAAATTCTAGATTGGGATAGTTACATTGGGAACATTTAACTTTAACGTGAAAGAAAATGAATTAAAAATACTTTCCTATTATATTATTCAATGTCACGGTGTAATTAATAAGTATCATTTTGAGTAATTTATTCACTGAGATTCCAATTTATTGTCGATGAACTCTCTACCGTTCTACTTTTATGTATCTACCTACCCTACCCTATCCTACCCTAGTTCTATTTTTAGGAAAAGTAGAATATTCCATATTTATGTTGGAGTCTTTTGAAGTCGATTAATATTATATAGGTGCAAAAAAATCAAATTATTACAAAGTTTTTAGAATATGCGAATAAGGCGTATTAAGAGTAAGGATTCATGGAGCATAATTTTCACAATATATAATAAATAGTTTACAATTCTCACCGGGCTGTCTAATGTCGATAGTACATAGAAACTATCAAGTTCCAAAAATAAACTATGGATCCCATATGGATCCCTTCATTATGAAGCCGGCTAACTATACAAAATTTTAACCCTTGTTTTAAATAGCACAAATTGCATTTAGGAGTTGTCTGAGTGAGATATTCACAGTGTAATTGAAACTGGGTACCAAAAACAAAAAAAAATGATCTCAAATTTACATGTCGCAATTATCAGGCATACAAATAAAAACTTACTACTAAAAATTTCGTGAGCTAAATTCACATTACCTATGTTAAAACGGCTCACACTTTAAGTATTATGTAATAGTACATTTATACTTTTTGTAGGTCCCGTGAGATGAGAATAAGCCCGAACAAGAAAATAATAATTATCTGTACGTACATATATGTAAAAACGCTGTGTTCTCTGTCAAGCTTATATTCTAATAATTATACGTATGTACATATATATACAGTTATTTAACGAAATATATTACTTATTCGTCCGCTTTAGAATTTAATTTTGTATGTTGTTGTATAATGTGAAATATATGTACTTGTTTTGTTATTTCCTGTCTTTTATTAGAAACAGAAACGTCTTACTGGATACAAATTGCACGTGAATCCACTCGTTTATTTCGAGAGATCGTATTAGCACAGTGCGAGCATTTTCACAGTACAGTACATCATGAAGGTCAAATCAATGTTTATGAAAAAATGTGACAAAAAAGTACCGGTACATAGATATGCCTTACATTGACCAACAGTAAGGTAGTGTCGTTAGCATAACTGGAATCCGTCAACAACGGTGGAGATAATACCTAAGTAAGTATTATCAGATGGATCATAAGCTTATCTAACAATAAAACCAAAACCAATTGTGATATTTTTCTTCTACCTATGCTGGTAACCTTGCAAAGTTATGCCACAGCGTAGAGAGCAAGTAGGTGAGCTCACGGGGCTCTAACCTGAGAACGTTGCTAACACTAGCCCTAGCAAGAGCAGTGCATCGCAGAATCTACCACCGGATCGGAAACGCGACCCAGTGAGAAGATCCGGCGAGAAACTCAGTGAGCTGTGTCTGTGGGTTAATTTACTCGCCGAGCCCTTCGTCGCTAGCGACGGGTTCGACGGAATCGGTGACCAGTGCTTGAGGTACCTAGAAGCAAGGGCGGATCCAGCTTTGGCGCCAGGAGGGGGTCACATAGTCGTGGGCAAGTTAAGAACTTATAATTTAATTTTGATAACAATAGATAATAAATAAATCATGATGTTCTTCAATTAGTCCAAGTTAGTTCAAGTCCTGGAACTAGCTCAGGGCGGGGGGTCCTGACCCCCATGACCCCCCCCCCTCCTGGAACCGCCGTTGCCTAGAAGCATTCATTCATTCGAAATGAATGAAATTCGAAATAAGGGTGATATCGACTGTTTAATGGTAAAGGTCCCGGTCCGCAGGATCGGGTATGTAGTTACCGGCGGCCACGACAAGAGTTTTCGTGTCGTGCCACTTGTTCGAAATGGCGCACTGATGACGATTCCAAATACTTACTGATGGAGTCGTGAAGGTACACGTTCCTCACGAACCACGTTGCTTCGACGGCTGTCCTACAAAAACGGGATTGGTTGATTTGAAGGGGTTTCAAATTAGTGTGGGTCACGTGAGCGAACACTACACTTGCATAGGTCATGAAATTTTACTTAATAATTAACGAAGTAATAATAACAAAATTTTAAAATTTTATAATTCTGGAGGTTTCGTAACGCGTGATTCCCCATCGATACATAAAAAGGGTTCGGTAACCCAGTATAATAAAAGCGAAATCCTTAGAGTTTAGTCAGTGTCACTATCTCGACAAGCGACCGCGTTGATTAGATACTCACACTCGAGGACTCCGTAGATCAGTCGAACATTAATGATGTCAACTCAACGAAAATGGGATTACAGTTTAAAACATTTTTGTATAAAATTTACTGTGGCAGAAAACACGGAAATGCTTAGTGTCGCAAATAATAAATAAAAAACAAAATAAATATTTACAGTAATAGCGCCTTGTTAGTGCTTCCTTCATCGTGGATTTAAAAAAATACGACCCTAATACCATGATATTCGCGACTAAATATTAATTCGCGGATTTAATAGGTACATCGGTACATACACATTATGTAAAGGATTCGAATATTTAGTTATCCAACCGAGTATGCTTTGTAAGCACGTCGTCAAATGTATTAATAAAAAAAGAAAATAGACCCTATTACAACCCCGCCTAAAGTATGTTTTTATTTTGTCACCTAGGAACGTATCTCCTATAATCCCATATTATAATAATACGTAAATTACTATTCCATATTCACGGTTTCTGTCTTCGCGGCATATTTACGAAACATATACGATAATAAAGAAATTTTACTGTAATATCTTTATCACACAATTTTTTATTTAGTTTATAGCTTTCGAAGTTGTATCTCATCTCGACAACTATTAACGTAAAAAAAATGTAATTTGTCTTATCAATCTTAAGACCTAGCTAGCTATAGATACTCAACATGTTTTCCTAAGCTTGAATTACTTTTTCATTCTACAGTTTTGAAATAAAAATAAATTTACCTTTTATATCCCGTTATTAATAGGCAAAAATAAAACCAGTTCCAAATAATTATTAGTATCCATGTTATCTCTTTAAGCCTCCTTTGACATGGTGTCCTGGCATCAATGCCTTTGCTAGTCACCCCATGAACATCTCATCTATCCATTACCATCTCACTGGAGCGCTTGATAGAACAAAGGAGAGACAACCTTTGAAAACGTACTGTACAAACTGCAAAATATTTCCGAAAGCAGGACGATATCACCCGTTTCGCTATCGTGTGGTGCGATGGTAAAATAGGGACATCTTGGTACGGTACGATTCAACCATGCCTTGACGCACTTCTTATTAAAACACGTAAGAGAAATAGAGTCCGTCAGCCCTTAGAATAAGAATTCTCGAACTCATTCTTAGATATATTAAAACTGCATCGGAACGCTACTTCGCGTCAGCAACACACTATAACCCACGATAACCCAGAGGCAAAAAATTGGTAGGGGAAGTGGATTTGAGAACACCCTCCTTTTTTTATTTTTATTACTTAGGTGCGTGGACGAGCTCACAGCCCACCTGGTTTTTAAGTGGTTATTGGAGAGACCATAGACATCTACAACGTAAATGCGCCACCCACCTTGAGATATGAGTTCCAAGGTCTCAGTATAGTTACAACAGCTGCCCCACCCTTCAAACCGAAACGCATTACTGCTTCACGGTAGAAATAGGAAGGGTGGTGGTACCTACCTACCCGTGCGGACTCACAAGAGGTCCTACCATTAGTAATAAGAATAGTAAGTGTAGTACATAACTTTTTTTATGAAATGAAAATGAATCTTCTGAGTGAAGTGTGAAGAACCTACCCGTGCGGACTCACAAGAGGTCTTACCACCAGTAATTACGCAAATTATATTTTTACGGGTTTGATTTTTATTACACGATTTTCCTTCACCGTGGAAGTCAATCGCGAATATTTGTTAAGTACGTATTTCATTAGAAAAATTGGTACCTGCCGGCGGGATTCGAACACCGGTACATCACTACATACGAATGCACCGGACGTCTTATCCTTTAGGCCACGACGACTTAAAGAAGACGACGACTTATTAGAAACATCAACGTCTTATTGGATACAAATTGCACGTGAATCCACTCGTTTATTTCGAGAGATGGTATTAGCACAGTGCGAGCATTTTCACACACAGTACATCATGAAGGTCGAATCAATGTTTATGAAAAAATGTGACAAAAAAAACACCGGCACATAGATAATATGAAAAAAGTCGATTTGAAAACACCCTCCATTTTTAAAGTCGGTTAATAAATAAAAAGCTTTTATTTTCTTTTGTATTTTTATTGTATTTTATTGATGATTCGGCGTCAGTCCCCCGTGACGTACATGTGCACGGGTCGGTCCGCGCGCAGCACGCGTGCCCCCCGCGCGGCGCCGAGCAGCGCGCCCAGCCGCACGAGGTCGCAGCGGCAGTACAGCACCGACACCGTCATGTTACACTCGCTGCCCCCGTACTTGTTCTGGTTGCTCTCCTGGTACAAACAAAAACAATTCTCGACTAGAGTTAAGTTACGGCGAACGAGATAATTATTAAAAAAGAATTTATTTAATTAAAACAATTTTTATTGGTTCAAATGTACTACAAGACTAATTTACAATTACAATATATCTATTAACAAAACTTATTGCTAAATTTGCAATGGTGCAGTTTCTGCTATGACGCACGGGGTCATCCGATGTGCATTCAGCAAATACGGACATCAGGCGATTGCCTTTTTTTCCGGGCCGCGGGCCGAACCTCCTGCGAGGTCCCCGCGCTTAGGGGGCGCGCGGGGTATGTGGGACTCGACGATCTGCAGGGTTTTGGGAGCAGACCGCGGGCCCAAAGAATTTTAGGGCCCCACCCACTAAGCGACTCCCCTGCACTCTTACACCCGACGTCCGATCTCCGTCCGGGGTCAAAACCCGGTCAGAGTAGGGGGGTTCCCGCGGTCCACACTACAACCAGACACGCGGCGCCACCCCGAGGACGCCCGACCGACGAGTCGTCGAGGCGATAGTCGACGACCAACGACGTCGGTCTCCGCGGTACGGCGGCCCTACCAGGCCACCCGGGCGATGCCGCTGATGTTCCGGGATACCCCGCTGGGCCAGAACCAGCCTGCCGGTTCGGAACGCGATACACCGCCGACCGGGATCAGGCGATTGCCTAACTCTAGTCCTGAACAATTTAAATTGTTATTACTTCTATTGCTTTACAGATATTATTTTTATGCGACCACTTCCGTCGTTAAAGTCGTCGTGGCCTAAAGGATAAGACGCCCGGTGCATTCGTTTCGAACGATGCACCGGTGTTCGAATCCCGCAGGCGGGTACCAATTTTTCTAATGAAATACGTACTCAACAAATGTTCACGATTGACTTCCACGGTGAAGGAATAACATCGTGTAGTAAAAATCAAACCCGCAAAATTGTAATTTGCGTAATAACTGGTGGCAGAGCGTCTTGATAGCCCGCACAGGTAGGTACCACCACCCTGCCTATTTCTGCCGTGAAGCAGTAATGCGTTTCGGTTTGAAGTGTGAGGCAGCCGTTGTAACTATACTGAGACCTTAGAACTCGTATCTCAAAGTGGGTGGCGGCATTTACGTTGTCCATGGGCTCCGGTAACCACTTAACACCAGGTGGGCTGTGAGCTCGTCTACAGTAGTCCGCAATAAAAAATTAAATATAAAACTTCTAGAATACATGTTTAAATAGTTGATCTAAAAAACGTAGACAGGTATTTACTTTTAACTAAGGATCGCTTTTATATCAATTTCTTGGGTTTTCCAGAGTCTCAGACATACTAAAACATACTTTTACGAATTCAATCTCGCATTTATTGTTTTCAAACATTTCGACTACGATCGTGGTATTTTCGTGGTTACGGACGACTTAGCTCTTATTAGTTTACGTTTGAATATTGAACGTTAGTAATTACAATAAGCACGAGATTAAATCGTAAAAAATATTTTGATTACGATTTTGTATCGATTTATCGTCTTGTCTTTTTACATCAGATGACTTATTGAGCCAATAGCTAATAAATCTAAGAACTATTTTTTTATTTCACAATATGGATGAACGAGGTCACGGCTCAGCTGATGTTAAGTGGTTACCACAGCCCATATACATCTACAACGTGAATTTTGCCAACTGTCTTGACACATGAAATCGAAGTCGAATTATATACATAGAATAATGATTGGCTCACGCTTCAAACCGTAACATATTACCGCTACCTATGTGGCAGAAATATTCTGGACGGTAACACTATTTCGTACCGGCTTACTTTAAGCCGCACGACCAGTAAGTAAATTTTACAGCTTATTTTCCTGAATGCCGAGGAGGTCTTTACATGTTATGAATAAAAAAAATATATCGTACATACAGTGCGATAACGTCACTTACGCAATTATTGCACTTTTTCAGTTTTTTTTTTTTTTTTTAAATTCAACATCTTACTATATAGTTCTTATATAGTTCTGCTAGGCTATAGGAATAAAATGATAATATTTAAACTACAAACTTTATCGGTAAAAGAAAACATCTCTCTCGTCTCACTATAACTAATAATTAAAAAATGTATTTTCTCATACTCAGTTCAGCGTTAATAAAAATTGCAAAAATAACTTTATATAGCACCGTATGTGCGACATTTTTTTTACAAGAATAATTTTCCGATATATATTTTTTTCCGACACCGATTTTCGATTGAATACCGATTTGGATCAGAATGATAAAGTTATGTTTAGACGTTAACAAACAAAAATTGCATAAGTGACTTTATAGCACCGGATATTTTTTTAACAAGAAATATTTCCAATATATTTTTTCCGTTACCGATTTTCGATTGAATACCGATTTGCATCAGAATGATAAAGTTATGTTTAGACGTTAGCAATGATTCCCGTGAAACATTCGGACAGCCGGCTGCAAATTATCTAAAGAAATAGTTAAAACTAAACGTTAACGATCCCGAAGCGGTTCAGATGATAATTTACGTGCTGCTCGTGGCGATACATACCTGCATCAGGTTACACATCTCGGAGTAAAAGTGCGGATACGTCGGCGGCTGATAAAATATTATATGCCGGATCCCTTTGATCCTGAATCTCCGGAAGAAGTGGACTCTCTCTGAATACAGCAAGAAGTGTGCTTCGGTGTGGAAGAACATATCTCTGGCTCGGGCTATCTTCGCGTCCTACAGGATAATTTTGATTTCATTGCCTATGTTGTGTTTAGCCTATACAAGGTGTGAGATGACCAGCCAAATGAGCACTCTCTTTTTTCTTATTTAGCCAGAGGATTTTGCGGCCGATCTAAGGTAGAGTCATGGTCGATTATTAACATTGGCAATGCCAGGGGCACAACAAAGCTGATGTCTGCCACGCTACTTAGAAAGTAATCAGTACATATCATAAATTACTTTTTTTAATAAATATACTTAAACAAGTAGAATATTTAATTAAAATATATGTCAACCCCTCGTTCGTATTTTTTTATTGCCCTTATAAATAGACGAGTATACCGTCCACCTGATGGTGAGTGGTCACCGTCCCTACGAATGTCAGCAATATCGGGGACACCGCAACATCGCTGCCTACCGATCAAAATTATTAAGTTCGAAGAGAGACATGTTTTATCACTTCAACATCGTGGAGGAAAGCTCAATCCAAAGCTTAATTGCCTTCATATGATGGTTTAATATAAATTTTCATTAAAGTAGCTAAGCACAGCCAAGACATTGGAATCAACAAAGATTTTCTAATATTACATTCAAATTAATACTAAAAACTCGGTAATGTCATAGTTACAAATATTGCAATAAATTTATAACGCAGTCACATTGTCCCCTACCTTAGAGTATTCGCAGATTTGCACAAAACTAATGTCTTCTTTCTTAAAATAATTCCGTATGCGCACGTAATCGAAGTAGCTCGGCACGTAGATGAGCGTGTGGCTCATGAGGGTGTCGCGCTGCTTGGGCAGAACCTCCTTTATGAAGTACTCGAATCTGGCCTCGGCCGATTCCAGTGCTGTCGACGCATTGAATCTGTTTAAATAAAAACTTGTTTACCGCTCGGGACTTTTTGGCGGGAACGCGAGGAGTAAAGTTGTCTATTTAGTGAGAATACGGCTATATTCTGGTGGCCGTATGTATGACTTAAATCATTAATTCATTAACTGTTAATATACATGCTGTGTTTAGATTAAAATAAACATAATTTATATTGTTGTTGTTTTTTTTTAAAGTACATAATATACTTTTTGTATATTTCCGATTTTACAAACAAAGCAAAGGCAATTGAGAGGGCTAAGTATGTTGAAAAATAAGAGAGATTTCTTTTTAAAAACTAATAATACGATAGTAAGATATTATAGACCTAGATTGGATACGCGTAAATTCTAGAAGAGAATTAGAAAAAACATTTTAAATTTTATACTGATTGAAATCTATAATCGCTTTTTTTTCCTACCTATTCTGATAGTCTTGAGAGGCTATTTCAGCTTAACCTTAACTAGTAGGTGAGCTCACGGGGCTCAAACTGGAGTGATGGTAACACTGGCCCTATCAAGAGCAGTGCTTCGCAGAATCTACCACCGGATCGGAAACGCGGCCCACTGAGAAGATCCGGCGAGAAACTCAGAAGGCCGTGTCTATGAGTTAATTCGCTCGGCAAGCCCTTCGTCGCAGGCGACAGGTTCGACGAGGACGGTGACCGGCTTATTAAATAGCTGTTGTTTTAGAAATTTTATTTGGGCCACCGCCAAAGTACCTATAAATAACCTATTTCAATAATTAGTAAATGTACCTGTGAAATATCTGAGGTATCTGTAACAATACTTGTTGAATACTCCCCACTTCTACAGGATTCTCCACAAGCACTTTCCCGGCGTAGTTATGGCATTTCTTATTCAGTACAGATTTGATTTCCGGCAGGAGCACGGAAGCGAATACTAATGTTTGTCTGAAATTTTTTTGGAATTTAAATACCTATTGAAGATACAAGTTCATAAATAACTAGTACACCTATATATACACAGTGTTGCCACATGTATTGTTTTTAAGGAAAACATTTTTTTTCTTCTTTTGATCATAATATGCACATTTACTACTGAAACAAACGTTCGTCAAAATAACATATTCTAATATTATTAAAGTAAGCTTGTATTTTTGTATGGTTGTAATCACGTAAAAATAACTGAAAATGTATATAATTATATTACGATAGATATCTTAAAATCATAAGAACTCTGAACTCTCAATCTGTGAAATCCTTTGGATAAAGAGTTCTAATATTTGCATTCATATGCGGCGTGAAGCAGCTCTGATGTGATCCTGGCAATACTGATATCCATGAGCATCGATGTACACTCAGTATAAGGGGGGCTGTTAGTTTACAGACTAGCAGGTTTGACTTTAAAACCATAAAAAGAATATATTAAATTACACAACATTGAATAAACATTCAAACATTGATGAATCTTTAGAAATGACCTTACCTGTAATATTTAGCCCATCCGTTGACTGCCCACGATCTGACTCTAGAGAAGTCAGTATCATGCGTTTTCTTTGGTTGAAGATGAAAATGGTCAAGAACATGTAGCAAATGATCCCAATTCTGCATTAAGAACACATCCGCTTGATCCATAATCAAAATTTCTATGGAAGCCAAAAAATCATAATCTCTGTCTTCCTCCCCTTCAGCTCCGACCAACATTCGTAGACCAAGTGGTGATGCGACTATGATGTCTGATGAGTAAAAATCTGTATATAACTGATAATTTAAATTAATTTACAATCTGATCATTAATTTTACATCCAGTCCCGTCCACATTACTAACTTCATTTGTGAAACAAGATTATGGGGAAACAAACTGAAATTTAAATATTTTAATAAACAATTATAAATATACAAATTTGTTGTGTACCAATTAATTATTCGCTTTCACTTTTTCATACTTACAAATTTAGGGACAACATATACTGATGCATATTTAAGGAAAAAATGCAGTATATTTTTTTAAATGAAATGTCTTTGGTAAATATACTGTGTTGACAATTTTATGTGAAATGTGTGAATGCTATGTTTTGTATTACCTTTATTATTGTTCAGATTTCTTACTCAAAATTAACTTTGCACAGATAAATTAAAGTTTACCTTAAGACTTTTCTTGGTGACCGTCATGCCTATCCTGAATGTATCATCTGTGTTGCCAGTGAACATGAGTTCATAGTCCTCAGGCTTTGGATTTTTACGTGGCATGATAAGTTCACCTCCTGTAAACTCGTCTTCAAATCTTTTTTTATTGAGCACCTGACCAGCCTCTTTTGGCACCAAAATTTCCATTAAGGTTTTCACTACTCTGTAAGCTGCATTTTTGAATGGAACCATTACTAGTACCTTAAAATTAGAGATGTATTTTAATAACAATTCAAACTTATTAAACATAACGACACAAATTCAGTATTTTCATAATTATAGACATAATTAAGGCTAGCTAGATCTCAAACTAATTTGTAAAAGTAGTTTTGTTATTATGTATTTACATTTATATATTAGAAATGAAAATAATAATCCCAATATTAAATGGTAAAATTAGTTCTGAAAATATATTACAATGTTAAATTAGAGTAATTTTAAGCAACAAGAACTTTAATAAAAGTGAAAAGAGGAGTTACTAAGGATTCACAACCTTTGAATTATCTCATTATGTACTGGCTCAGACCATAAACTCCAATACGGTCACCACTATCGCCCCTCTCATTAAGCCTTCAAGCCAACTGCTAATTTTCAACAACTAATAAAGGGAACTGAGTGGCCTATACACTGCAAGCCTATATAAGCCGAAAGATCAATTCTTTAGTTACAGCTCAAATTAGCCTCCTCCTGTCTCTTAGAAAAGTTTATAAGGGTCTATCTACTCTGTGTGTTCTTCAAATACTTTTGAAGATTTTTGGATATAGACAACAGTGTGATGTGCTATTATTCCCATGCTGTTATTTACTCTATTATGTCAGACTTTTTCGGTTTTTCATTGCCTTTGTAGGCAGACGAACGCACGGCCCACATGATGGTGAGTGGTTACCGTCGCTCACAGATATCAGCAATGCCAGCAGGGGAACAGCCTTAGAAAACTTCTTGTTCAAAATAATTGTGACTTTGTGTTACATGTTTACAATCTACATGTTCACATATTGAATTTCAAGTTGAGTTCAAATTTGTAAAGCTGTTATTGGCTGCAGCTGCTGAAGATGACCTTATCGAGTATATATGAAGGATCACTTTACTGAAGTAGTAAGTACTTAACATATATTCACATATAATTCTAATAAAAATTTATAAATTTGTGTGTTTCTTGGCTTTAAAAAGTACTGTAAGCCCACACATTTAGACACAACTATCTTGCCTATTTTCTGCAATTCAGCAATCCCAACGTAGGATTGCCCTTATAGTTTGATTGAGACTTTATGTTCATGTTATGTTATGTTATGTTTTAGGTTTTACTGGTGGTAGGACATCTTGTGAGTCCGCGCGTGTGGGTACCACCACCCTGCCTATTTCTGCCATGAAGCAGTAATGCGTTTCGGTTTGAAGGGCAGGACAGCCATTGTAACTATACTTGAGATCTTAGAACTTATATCTCATGGTGGGTGGCGCATTTACGTTCTGGATGTCTATGGGCTCCAGTAACCACTTAACACCAGGTGGACCTCACAAAAGCTGCCATGCCAATTAGTAAAATATCTAGAAGTGTAATAATATCTGTAATTATCAGATTCATTTCAAATAACCATTAAAAAATTGTCAGTTGCTAAAACTATTACCTTGGGACGAACTAATCCTTGATCTCTATAATCATCGGAAATATCATTTTTCTTTGTCAATTTTGCATTATGATGTAAAATTCGTGTTCTGGTCTTCAGCATATGGTTGATGGCATGAAGACAATATATGTAACGAATTTCATCAGCATTACTAAATGTTCTTTCAGGGTAATACAAATCCTGATAGTTGTTGAGTATTGAAAAAATTTCTTTTTGTAATGGAGTTAAAACTTCAGATAGTTCAAGATCTCTCTTTACCAAACTAGTTTTATTCGCCGAGACAATGTTTCCATGTATTTGTGATTTTATTTTCAATTCTTCAAAATCAACCTTGTGAATTAGACTAGGTGCTGTACCGGGTTCAGCAAAAGTTTTATCTTCCAATAATGAAATTTTAGCTTTAACTTTCTTTATTGCTGTTTCAATTGGTCTAGGTATAACAATAGTTATGTTACCAATCACTGGCCATGTCTTTGAAATAGTAGAAACTGTCATGGGCGAGTTGTTTAATGAAACCAGCAACTCATCAGGTAAATCATATTGTAGATGTTTTACGAACAAATCATCAGTTTCATGGTCTAATTCTGTTTCAAAAGTAGCCTGAAATGAATGAAAAATTAAGAACTTTTTTCTGTAGACGTTTAACCTGCAAATATGAACTAATTCAATGTCATTACTTTACAATTTATTTTATAAAGTCTTTTATGACAATCAGAGAACATAAAAAGTTTGACTTACAGTGTTATCAAAATCTTGGCCCTTTGCATTGTCTTCGCTATCACTATAGTCACTGTCACTCTCGGTCTTACTAACTTCCTCATTTCGAGCACGTTTACGAGCACAACTTTCAATTTCAGGGCTGGGGCTATCAGAATCTACTTCTTCGTCACTATTTACTACTATTGTGTTTGTTGGTTTACTAAAACAAGACACAAGTTGCCCGTATACATCTTGTTCCTCTTCGCTTTCAGAATAAGCTTCTTGTTCCCTTTGAAACTTCCGTTCCATCTGCTTTTTCTTTTCAAGCTCTTCCTCAACCTTTTGTACATTTTTGTATCGATTGAATTTAGCCTTTTTATTTGTAACATATGTATCATTGGAACTTTTTCTTTTCTTTTTACTAATGTGGTCTTTTATTGTCTTCTTTTTACCAAAGTATTTCTTTCCCTTCATTATTTTAAGTCAACAAGTCATGGGTATTAAACATAATATCTCAGAGTGCAACAAGTGTATGTATAACCAAAGATTTATACACTTAATATATTCGAGAGTCTTAACTATGACTATGAATCAGATGATTAGTAGGTAATTATTACGTACGGTAGTGATTACTGGCTCAGTGATTATTACTTAAGTACGGTACCTATTACCTATGTACTAAGTAGGTCATAGGCTCGTAATACCATAAAATAAACACTTAAATTTATATTCGAGAGGGGAAGGGGAGCACTCACATGAACATGGAAGATATTTTTTATTGAATTCATTCAAGGGACACGCAAAGGGAACATAGCCCAAATACGGCCAAAATGATTTTATTGGAACAAAACATTTTAGTCATTTTTTTAGAATGCCCCACTATTAATCTATTACTATTAACCTCTAAAATTTGTGAAAATGTACAAGTATAAAATGAAACCATGACTGTATTTTATTCGCGCTCATATAATTTCATTCAAAAACCCTTTTTCCACGAAGTATTTATGTTTTGTAAAGAGAAAAAAAGAAAACATAAAGATATTGCACATCCAACCTAAATATATTCATTGAAAATAAGTTAATTTGTACAAGAGGCGCTCTTATCACTAAAAATGATCTTTAAGCGTGTTGGACGGTCAAATTTGAGGGGACTGGGTTCTGGAGGTGAGGGGCTATTTAAAAGCACTCTCTTCATGGTTAATATAAGTAATTATATTGAAAATACTTTGTACACTATTACACCATTACAATATTTTATTTTTATAAAACTCTAAGATGTTGCTCTGACCGTGTCTAGATGAGAAGTTTTTGTCATCACTTAAGAGAAGACAATTATTTGTTTTAAGCATTTAAATAAGCATTCCAATATTCGAAAACCGTAACCTTACATGTGTCAAGTGTTGCCTGCCATTACTTTCATATTCAAACTCCAACAAAGCGTTTTTACTTAAATAAATTCTTAAAAAGATAAGACAGGTATCTTGCGATGTACTATTAACAACAATATTCAGAGAGATCCATAAAAAATGACAAAACGTTTAAATTTTAACCATTTTAAAGAAGTAAAACAAAGGTATACAATGATTATTAATCTAATAAATAATGTTTACTAAATTATATATATACCTATATCCATAATATCCATATATTTTATTTATTTACTTATTTATTAGGCACACAATACACATCACAAGCTAAAAAGATACATAAAAACACAAGTAAAAAGAAACAAAATCTGGCTTGCAACATAAGTTTTGTGCGCACGACAAAACAAGACAAAGTGCTGAATTTGTACACAACGTTATTGTTATTTATTTTGTATTTAAGTAGATAATAATAAATAACTATTTGATGTTGTTTGTATGTACATCTATACCTTCTATAACTTCGTTCTTCTGTCATTGCACTATCGGCACGCTATGATGGCCGTTTTGACATATTACAATAGTGATGTGAAATAATTTATTCGCGAAAAAAATATAATTAATCTTTAAGTTTACTTTCTTCTGTGCCAGTTTCGCCATATTTTTCTTTAGTTATTCGTCTTACAATTCGTTGTCCAATATTAAGCGCATCAGCTGCGCGTTCAACCACTGACGTTACAGGTAAAATTGGCCCTTCATTTTGAGATTCACGATCGAAATAGTTTACGAAGGCGTATAACGAACTCACTGCTGAGTTTGTTTCGGTTCTTCTCAGGACTGTGGCTTTTTTTGGAACCGGTGGTAGAGTTAACATTGTTATTTATATTTTGACATTCAACAAGTGTGTTATACTGACATCTAAGTTGAAATAAATGATTTTGAATTTGAATTTTGAATTCACGTGTCTGACTATTTAGAACAATTCTCTGCGTACGTTCGGCCATATCGACGAAATCCACAAGGCATAAACACTGTCTAAATTAACAAGCAAGGGTCAACAGTACTGCAGTATCAATATCCGAAATCCAAAGCCAGGTCAAACTACATCACAATCGCAGTGCACTCAGAGTTTGTACTTTTCGAATCAACGTCAAGTCGAAACTGCTTTGTTTTGCTTAAAGTATTGACCGCCGCTGAATCCTCATTTAATATTGAAGCTACCGTCTTTCGTACTCCACCACCTACTAACGATATCTCATCACTCATGGATCGTGTTGCATCATTAGTTGAGCAATTAGATTTGGATACTGGAGGTGATTAACAACTGTAATTATTTAATTTCTACCGAAGCATTATAGCTTTGTTGCTTTTTTTATAATTTTAACATTCCACGTTTTGCTAATTATAATGAATCAGTCTTTAACTGATTTGTAATTATAAATAGAAGATAAAAAACGTTCTTATAAATAAAGGTCCTTTTCAAACACACTTACATTGAATTTTACTGACAACCCTAAATTTAAAGCTTATTTTTTTGGTAAACAGCACTGAAGTATGAAACCTATAAACAGCTGTCTTAAGATGGCGGCCTAATTTATTTATTTAAAAAAGAAATCAAATGTTATCATAGGGCTTTAAATGTAAAAATACATCAAAATTGTATTGCCAGTTCTTATACTGGCAAAGTTACCCCCTTCTCAATATAACATTGGCCCACAATTTTTTTGTCCATTTTGTGCGATTTTCACTCTATGCACATGAAAAATAATTTAAATTTTAATTGTAAACGTTTAAAACCCACGGAAAATCCATACTTTTTATTAATATCCAGTAAAACTGAAACAATTTTGTACGTATTCTACGTACAAAATTGTTCGCATGGCGGGACAAAGTTACCCAGATGGACGGTACATTGTCATAATCTCAAAAATATTAAGTGTATAATCTATGATCATAATGTAAAAGACCGGCTGTATGAGCATCGCTTCCTTTAATTGTATAATGGACAAATCAATGTAAAAAAGAATACATACTACCTACTACTTCAACTTCAATTCAATGCTGTGTAGTGTGTGCGTAAACGGCAAATATAAAATTATTAAGAATTTAGGCCATATGAACCAAAGGGTAAATTTACCAATTGAAACTTGTGAACTACATCATCTTAGACTGCCTTCTACTATGCATTCAAATAAATCTGGACGTGTTTGAGAATGAAATAATAGTGAAACCATGTTGATAACAACATTTTTTAATGTACCATAGTTCTCATTGTCAATTGCAATGAATGGTTCAAGCGGTTTCAGTATTCCGAGTCATGAACTAAACGATTTAAATAATGGCCTAAGGCAAAGTTCGTCGTCTTCGAAGGTAAACAAAGCACCTCATACCCCACTGACAAACGCTCGAGACAATGCTGAAGATTCAATTGATCTCAAAGGTAAAGTGGAATCACGATTATTATCTATGTGGAACAATGTAAAATTTGGATGGACAGTAAAATTAAAAACAAACTTTTCTAAAGAATCTCCGGTTTGGTTGTTGGGCCGATGTTATCACCGAAAATTAAGCCCAACTGGCTCACTGGAATCTTCCACAGAAGTGGGCATGGAAGCAACTGCACATCAACCAATGGAACAAATATATGGAGAGGGTATAGAAGGATTTAAATCAGATTTTGTAAGTAAAATATGGATGACTTACAGAAGGGAATTCCCTACTATGACAGGTTCAACTTTTACAACTGACTGTGGTTGGGGTTGTATGCTTCGAAGTGGACAAATGATGTTGGCTCAGGCTTTAGTTTGCCATTTCCTAGGCCGTTCATGGAGATGGTTACCTGAGAAACCCATTCAAAATGCTAGAGAATTTCAAGAAGATTGCTTACATAGAAAAATTATAAAGTGGTTTGGAGATAAGTCTTCAGTTAATAGTCCTCTGTCAATACATCAGATGGTGAGTTTGGGAGAAGCTTTAGGCAAGAAGCCAGGTGATTGGTATGGCCCTGCATCTGTAGCACATTGTTTGAAATCTCTAATTGCATCAGCTTCAAAAGAGAATTATGAATTTGATCATTTAGAAGTTTATGTTGCTCAAGATTCAACTGTTTATATTCAAGATATATATTCTATGTGTCAGTTGTTACATGGAGCTTGGAAGTCACTTATTCTTCTAGTTCCAGTGAAATTAGGCACTGAAAAATTTAATCCAATATATGGCCCATGCCTCACATCATTATTAACATTAGATTTTTGCATTGGAATAATTGGTGGAAGGCCAAAACATTCTCTATATTTTGTTGGCTATCAAGATGACAAACTCATTCATCTGGATCCACATTACTGCCAAGAAATGGTAGATGTTTGGCAACCCAATTTCTCTTTACAAAGCTTTCATTGTCGTTCTCCAAGAAAAATGCCACTTGCAAAGATGGATCCATCATGTTGTATTGGTTTTTATCTTGGAACCCAACATGATTTTGAAACATTTATAAATATAATAAAATCATTCCTAGTACCTCAGGGTGTATCATCAGGATATGAATATCCTATATTTACTCTAAATAATGGCTCCTGTGATTCACTTATGGACACTCCTAATGCTAGATATTCCTTTTTTGAAACAGAACAACATTGGGTCACTCCACATATGCAAGACAGCGATACAGACTTAGAGTCTGAAGAATTTGTTTTAGTTTAGTATTTTAAATAAGAATTTCGTATCTATAATATTAATTTATTGTTATTTGTTACATAATATTGGCTTTATTATAATAAGGCTTCAGTGTTACAACTGTGTTTAAAATTTGAAGGTTTTTATTTTATATTAGATTATTATAATGACATGTAAAAATCAAATCTTACAACAGCATTATACTAGTTTAGCAAACTCATGTAACAGTAAAGTGTCTGGATTTTATAAATATTTACAGTCAACAATTACAAATGCTATGTTGATTGTTGCCAATTACTTAATATGAATTAAAGAAAGTATAAAAATCCCAATTGCTACTCATTATTATTTTATAAAAAGTACTGATAGGGGGCTGTCATAATCACTACATAGCAGTAATCTGTTATGAAAATGGCCTCAGGAGCTATACCTACTCCAAGTTGAACATGAACTTAGCAGTTAACATTCTGTCATTTATATTTTAGGTTTTTTTTAAGATTGTTTTTTGTTGAAACTGTGTGTTGATTACATTACTTTTATAGTTATGTATTTTGTGATATGTTGTTTAATCTGTTCTCTGAAACTCAACATCATTTCAACTGCTTTTTTTCTGTAAATTAAACTTGGGTATTGTCTTGTTTGAAAAAAAAAAATTTGTAATAAAATAACAATAGTCATATTCATTTATTTGAATTAAGCCAGCTAATAAAATGAATATAAATAATAAACATAAGTTATTACATCAAATAAATTCTGGTGCATTTTTATTTATATTTCAAAAATATTAACTCTTGATTTTTTAAACAATAATTTTTTTTATTGCTTAGATGGGTGGACGAGCTCTCAGCCCACCTGGTGTTAAGTGGTTACTAGAGCCCATAGACATCTACAACGTAAATGCGCCACCCACCTTGAGATGTAAGTTGTAAGGTCTCAGTATAGTTACAACGGCTGCCCCACCCTTCAAGACGAAACGTATTACTGCTTCACGGTAGAAATAGGCGGCGTGGTGGTACCTACCCATGCGGAATCACAAGAGGTCCTACCACCAGTAAGAAATACAATTTCGTTTAATAAATTGAGTTTTTTTTAAAAGCATCATTTTCCATATTATATATTTTAAAACTCATCATTGTGAGAATAGTGTATCCTACATATGGCTTTTTAACAGATAGACAACAAAAATGAAATTATTGTTAATTCTTGTCTTTGACTGGAGGCGGGTGCCTGATAAAATAGTGAACACTGTTGTAAACCAAATGAGGTGCAACATTATGCAAAGGATGCACTCTATTCAGTTCATTACTAGGTGATCCAACTACGTAGGGATCCATAACCCCTGTACCATGTTGCGCTACCGATAATCCACTGAGGCCATAACATGTATGGTAAATGTCTCTAGGCCTGAAACAAAAAAAAATACGATATATCAATTCATTAAATATATTAAGTCAACAGTTAACTTTTTGTTTTACAGTTAGGTATCCACCATTAATCAGGCAATGTGATTCAGAAAAATTTAAGGGAAAACAAACTAGCCTTAACTACTGAAGAGTTTATCTACTATCCTTCCACTTTTATTAACATCAGTTTACATTAAATGCTCGACTCGACATATTGTTACATAAAGAAAATTATTAAACTTTGATATTGTATAGAGGTAATAAATTACTTACTTGCCAGGCTTATCAATCAGACCACCATCCCGATTTTGACAACATATCAAAATGTATTCCTGTAGGGCAGATTGATTGAAAAGAACTGTCTCAATAAGTTCCTTATTATCTGAAATGTAAAGTGGTTTGTATCTATGGCAATATTAAACAGCTATTACTTTATGCCTTAGACTTGATTGTTTAAACGTGGTAATGTAAACAGTTTACGCTTAGATACTTTTCTTCTTGTTTTTAAAGTAGACTAAAACAGACATCCTCGATATCTTACAGCTAATATCTGGGCAGTGCGAAACGGAAACCGAAACATTCCAAATCAATGTTAGGATTCTGTCTGATTAGCTCGAAAAACGAAACCTATCATATTTTGTATAGTCCATGGAGGTTGTACACGAGTACTACCGGCCTCAATAGGTTCCACAACAGTTACTAAGACTAGCGAGTAGTTAAAGAGCCCATAGACATCTCTCTCAGGGAGTGGAGCTTTGTCGTTAATCGTCAAGGTGACCACTGCATGCCTGGTGAGTGCTTAACTCACAGTGCGAAAGAGATGGCCGAGCTCTTACCCTCCAATTCGACTATTTCGATGGAGCGGGAGGCACACTACTAAACATTTCTGTGTGATAGCCCAAATTAAAAGGCTTATTACACTTGGCTAAATTTAGTCGACTGAATTCAGTGAAGTGTAATTGCATTCAGTAAGTTAGCCTACTAAATTCAGTAGCAAGGATGGTTTCTGACTGATATCACCTTTATTTAATATGCCAGACATTTATAAATAGCCCATGTTTCAGGGATAATTTTTGTCAGCAGGGGTTGGGATATTAAAGAACTAAATTTTAAATCTTGATACGAATTTCCTGTTGCAAGAAATCTTAATGTCACAGCCAATCTTTCTTTTGAACTTATACTATCTCGTAGGATAGTATCCTGCTCTTGAATAAACGGTGTCACAAGGTTTAATGTTAGGTCAAACGATCTCAAATCCATTCGTAGATAATTTCTTAAGTCTGCTGGTTCTAAATCACTCATAATGTTCATATTCTAACTTTCCTCTCAGCAATAAATATTTCTTCACCCATATTCTTATTTTTCTTATTTTTATTTAACTGAGTCGACAGCGAGGTCTACGCCAAGACCAATTTTTTGTTATCTAGATAATACTGGGGTCATCCTCTCACACACACGACACGTCCAACTTCGTCGCGTTTGAACTGGCAATTGATTCACTAACTGAATTAAGAACAGTGTAATCAGAAGCTTCTAACTTGCTTCTAAATTTGCTTCTGAATTCAGTCGACTAAATTTAGCCAAGTGTAATAAGCCTTTAAGTTCCCGCATCACGCCGTGTGTTCAGATGGTCTTCAACTTAAATTGGTATATATTGGTGGTACTGAAGCGCCTTGCGCCCTTGTGTATACACCTTTTTTTGGGCCGACACCGAATCTCTGACGAGATCCCCGTAGCGAAAGGGAGTGCAAGTCAAATTAAGAAACTCATTAAAGAACTGTCCCTGTTCTCTCACTTGAGATTTTGAGCCTCGACCGGGACCCAATGTCTCGCCTGGGACAGAACCCGAGAGTAGTAAAAGCAATAACACTACAATTTCGCCATCCCAAGGACACCTAACTGACGGAATCTTTGGCGAAAATGACTAGATTTTGGAGCTTTGGAGTTGGAATGTGTTACATCACCAACCAGTCCCTATTGGAAATCCGAGTTCAATCAAACCTATGCTAAATGTTGATAGAATCAAGTTCTCTTCCAAAATGCAATTGCTATCTTGACAAACATACAATTGCAAGAATTGCTTTTCTTTTGCTTTCAAATGCAGATTAAATACAGTATGAGATATTTAAGAAAGAACTATGTCCTTACCTTTTGAAAGTATTGCACTTATAATAGGAAAAGCAGCACCTTGCCAAAAAGAATAACATCCATCTACAAGTTTGTTTGTCCTTCCTTGAAATCCACCCTCTATCCTCATCTGTCTGTTTACTGACCACCTAAGCAGTGAATCTATATCACATAATTGTGTTCTATTTAATAGAGCTAAGGATGCGATTCCACAGAATGCATAGCCACCATGTGCTTCCATACCAGGACAACCAGCAAAGCCACCCTCATATGTCTGACAACTAACAATCCATTCTGCCGTTTTATCAAATAATGCTTCTGTGTATGTATTTGTCATTTTGGCTATACTAATTGCACAATATGCGCCTCTAATATCTTGTTCTCCATCTTTATGAAGAGCAAAGGATCCATCAACATCTCTAACTGTCCACAGAAATCTTTGTAAGCTACTTCTATCTATTGAGTCATAAGCCTCATCGGTTCCTATTATGCTAAGGGCGTTAACAGCTGCATATGTTGTTCCCAAATGTGGATATTGTCTAGGCCCCCCACCATAACCGCCATCTTCATGTTGACACTGATCTAAGAATTTTACTACTGCAGAAAGAGTCTCATGGTCGGGCATGTCATTAAGAATCCATAGTGAATGTAGAATCCAATATATGATCCAGGTTCTGCTAGCATCAAGGCATTCATAACTTTTTGGCAAATTGATTAAACATTTTTTTAATAACTTGCTGTGAACTTCTTTTATCAAAAGTGGTAAATCAGGATCAATGGAGGAATTTTTCTCGAATTCCTTGTACAATTTCAAAATTGTTTTTTCAACATAAATCTGTGAAATGCAATAATTATTTTATTTAGTATTATTACTCTCTATTTACCCAATATTTTTTTTAATTACTTTGTTCATTATGATAAAAAAATGTAATATTAAAATAATCCTAATGACAGAAACCTAACCTGTAAAAACTACAAGAAAGTTCATTCACACCCCCATAATAACTTTTCTTTAATGTTCAATGTACACACTAGGTTCTACTGTTTAACTTTACTGTTTATTTCATGTGTTGGATATGATTTGTCTTTCATGTTTTTTTTTTTATTTATAGCTTAGTTGCGTGGACGAGCTCACAACCCACCAGGTATTAAGTGGTTACCGAAGCCCATAGTCATCTACAACGTAAGTGCGCCACACATCTTGAGATATAAGTTCTAAGATCTCAGTATAGTTACAACGGCTGCCCCACCCTTCAAACCGAAACGTATTACTGCTTCACGGCAGAAATAGGCAGGGCGGTGGTACCTACCCGCGCGGACTCACAAGAGGTCTTACCACCAGTAATTACGCAAATTATAATTTTGCGGGTTTCATTTTTATTACACGATGTTATTCCTTCATCGTGGAAGTCAATCATGAATATTTGTACGTAATTCATTAGAAAAATTGGTACCCGCCTTGGATTCGAACACCGGACATCTTATCCCGTAGGCCACGACGACTTCATAACAACACTTCAGAAAGACACATTCAAAAATATGTTGTGATGTGTCTTTTGATTTCTTGCTTTCTTTGTCATTTGTCAGTAACAGGCAATTTATATTTCAAACAAAGGAGTTATTAAAGGAGTATATTTCAAACAAGTGTGCTTTGAAATATTTAATTACATGGGTAACATGAACTCATTATACTATTATGAAACACACTAATTTTTTTTAAAGTTATAAAATGTATGTTTTCATTGTTTCAGACATTATTGCTACAACTTCTACTCATCATTAATATTGTGTATTGTTGTTGTGTAATATCTGTCATACATGGCCTACTAATGTCCTAATTTGTTTCAATTACATAACACTGGGAGAGACCTAATATAGTATTAGGCAAATGGCCAAAATTTATTTCTATCCATCTGAAATAATAATTTACTTTTTGTACATACTTTTTCTATCTACCCTTTGGTACTTGTACTATCTGGTCTCTGAAAAAGGCTACCATGAATAGTCTTTCTAGTCTAACATCATGTCACTACTTAATAATAGTGTAGAGTAATTGTAATCCTAGTCTAAGCTCCTTTATTGTCCAAGTGGGCAGTATACAGTCAACCTGATAGTGAATGATTACTGCCACTCATGATCTTCAGCAATACCGGGGCAAGGCCATGCTCCTACCTACTGCTGAGCACTCTTCACAAACTTCATTCAAACAAAGACAAAGTAGAAAAAAGAAAGAAACTCTTCACTTTGAATTCAACTACAGACAACAGCAGAACTGCACTAATGTGCTAAATTCTTAGCTACCTAACACCTCTAAGTTCAACTATTAGCGCTGCCTACCACTGCCTACCAGCAAATCCAGACATTTTTTCAGCAACATGGAAGAAGTCTTAATTTAAGAGAGAAAAATTAAATATGCTATAACTTTGATTTGTTATTTTATACATATGCATTTTCTCCTTAAGTTAAAGATAATTTTTGCAATTCACCGTGGTGTGATATGAAATGATTTGAAAAGTATCTTCCATATACATTCTGGGTTTACTTCCTTTTGGGAAAAACTATTTAATATATTGTATCAGCTGCACAATCGTTTTAGGAACTTGTGAAGAATGTCCTTTCATGCTACACTAAAATGTTTTCTATCCAGAATATATAATTTATCTGTGACTTTGCACCATTAATCGAAAATGTAATTTCACTTTCATTAATTCTCATTTATCTCTTTCATAGTATAATTTCAGAACCACCTCTTGAAGTGTAAGAATTATTAACATTTCACTATATCTTCTAAGACTTGAAAATCAATTAAATCTTCACTGTCACTCAATCTAAATTCTCATCATAATAATTATTTTTCTCCATGTTGCTAACCATAATAAAGGTAACAGAATGACTTAATCGTAACAATACAAGACTGAGCATGTTTTAACTACAACAAACGAATGATTTAAATAACAATTGCCAATACTGATGTTCTTGTAGCATAATCATGCTAAAAACATTGGGTCCACAGTGGAGTCTACGGAGTTCCAGAAAAAATCACAGCTGGCTCAGTAGCTGAGTCAATAGACCACTAAGGTTTCTATAATAGTAGGTTATTAAGTTGGTTTAAGCGATAAAAAGGTAAAATTTGAAAGTTTAAGCAATGACTAAAAAGTTCATTATATTAATCTTATTAGGGACACTTATATAAAATATCTAGTAAATTTATTATAATTTGTTACTAGTGTTGCTTGCTTACTAAATAATATTTATGAATTTTGTGAAGATTCAATAAGATATAAAAGTACTAATTAGGTTGCTTAATTGACATTTTATTAATTCGCTACAGTAGATCACTCTAAATCTACTAAAAATCACTCCGATTTGAAACTTGAATTTACCTGATCTATTGATGTGTCTGTTTTAACATCTTCAGAATCGAAAGCTTCCGATACAATATCGTTGTAACAACGGACTTGGTTTTCCATATTAATTACTATTATTCCAGTGCGAATGGGGATCCTTCTATGGCTAACGTTTTGTAAGTCACTATGTCTGTTTTAAAAATTTGCACCTTGATTGTTTATTTATAAATCCATGTCCATGTTCAACTGCCAGACTCCACACGTAAGGTTAACTCGTAATAAAAAAAAGTTTATTTTCTTTCTTTTTTCAGGGACCTTGTGATCTGGTAGCTAAGACCTTTAGGTCATGTCTTATTTTATATAATATTAATTGATCCGGCAGACTTCGTAGTGCCCCAATCTATAAATAAAAGACCTTTTTTGTATACTTAAAACAAACAAAACGAATCCGTCCGACGGAAGGGGGGGAAAACAAAATTGTTATTTTTTATTTAATTCCTAATTTTATTTAAGACCAAAATTAGCCAAATCGGTCCAGCCGTTCTCTAGTTTTAGCGAGACTAACGAACAGCAATTCATTTTTATATATATAGATTCTTGTTTTTATGAAAAATGATAACATGGAGTGAAATGAAATTAAATGAAGATGACAATTTGAGACATTAAAAAAACTGGAATAAAATTAAATGAGATGATATGGGATGAATATAATCTCAGTAAAAAGGTGGTAATTTACTGAAACTTTTTGTAGGATCCCGAGAAGTTACTTCCAGCGGCTTTGTTTAATTTTCGCACATTTGTGCACTTTCACAGATATTAAACAGTTAATAAACCACCGTTATTATACATTTAAACCTGAAGAAACACTAAATAGACGAAATAAAACAAATCACACAACTTCACTCCCCACGTTCCCGCCAAAAAGTTAACAGTTTATTTTTTAAATGGAGGGTAGAGGCAAGGAGAACCGTATCTGTGTGTGATAAATTGTCCGTTAAAATCTGCTAAATAAGGGTGGCGCTACAGTTGGAACCGGGCAAATTTGAAAAAAAGCGCTGAAAGTTATTAAAATAAGATAGAGAATTATAAAAGGACGAAATAACTGTAAGCACTACAAAATCACAAAAAGTATTTTATTTAAAGCTGATGAGAAAATGCAATCGATGTCTCCACGTTTTACCACAGCAATAATTTTATATTGACGAAATTAGTTTGGACTACGTAAACATGTGAGTTCTTGTATATTACACTGTCACTAACTACTCTAGTCATTAAATATATTAAATTTCCTAACTCAGCATACTTCAATCAGTTAACAACTGCTCAATTCATATACCCTGTGCCTATGCTAGCGCCATTCTGCAGGATTTTTGAATTGTTAATTAGTGCTGAAAGTGCATAGACCTATATAGTTTCCTACTTCAGTGTGAAAGTGGGACACTTTTTCAAGCTCCCTCCCATAGGAGACGGTTCTCGTTACCTCTACCCTCCATAGTTTGTCTTTATTATCTATGGTTTATTCTGTAGATAAAAATAATAAGTGTATTATAATCTACTGATAAACAGATATGGCTGTATGGGCTTAGATCCCCTTGCCCTTCTTAATAAGAAAAAATTGCACCAAAATCTATGGATAAAAGCATAGATTATACATATTATTTACACAATAATTTTGTTAAAAGTAAACAAAAAGGTATTGGTGATAAATACAATAAAATGAATTTAAATTATAAATTACATTAATTCGAACCGTTAAAATTGAATGTGTTAAATAAATATTTCACTATTTTATAATGTTCAATTACCAATGTTTAACCAAAGTCTTGAATAATGCATATAAATTTTAAAGTATGTACTTAACTTTTTTTTCTCTAATTATCAAATATTTTTTTTAAGGGTCAAGATGATGCCCGGCAGGATTGGAAATATATCACTGGCCAATGAGAATCCTTTGGGATTATCATGGCATGATTCAGCATGGATACCGTTATTGAATCCATCCAATATTATGGATTATTTTTCAGAAAGATCTAATCCATTTTTCGATCGGACATGTAATAATGAAATTGTTAAAATGCAACGTTTAAGTATGGACCAGTTGCAGTTAGTATACCAAATTCTAATATTTTATTATAGTAAAAGACTTCATAACTATTCCCAAATTTGAAAATAATATACTATTTTACAATAATATGGATTTACCAAAGCCCTTAGACATCAATTCTATTGTATAAGGTTTTCATATCAAACTTAATACTGCTTCACGGCAGACATTTCCAAGATAGGTATCAGTATAGCTCACCATATGCTTGACCACCAATAAATTTTGCGAACACAAATTTTGCTACCTATTGGTACATATAACTATACCTAATTTCTGTAGTGTCTTAGACTTTAGAATATTCTGCTTCTTATAAAAAGGAAAGGTGCAGTTGTATTATATTTTTATTTACTACAGATATATTCATACATCATGAACATTTATTAAATGCGCATTTAATTAGAAAAATAGGTAAATGCCTGCTGGATTCGAACACTGTCGCAATACTTGATACAAATGCACCGGGCGTCTTACCTATAGGCCACAATGCCTTCAATGTCTCCTCTAGCCATCACATGGACCCCAAGTCTTTATTTCTGTGCACTTCACTAAACTGTGGAGGAACGGCTACTTTGAACTACTTAGAAAAGTAGAATTCATATCCATTGCTAAATGTGTCTGATTTTATAATTTTATTCACAATTTCAGAAATATGACTGGATTAGAATACATTTTATTGCATGTTCAAGAGCCAATTCTCTATGTTGTGCGTAAACAACACAGGCATAGCCCAACACAAGCAACACCTCTTGCAGATTATTATGTGATTGCTGGTATTGTTTATCAGGCTCCTGATCTCGCAAGTGTTTTGAATTCTAGGCTGGTAAATATTATTCAATTTCATTGACAAGAAAATAGTTACCTGTTTCTGTATCATAAGGCATTTAAAATTAACATTATTATTTATTGTTATTATTATTGGGGAGTCCAACACTCATATAAGCTAATAGCTAAAGGCTAATATTTAAAGTTAAAGATACATGTATTTTCTACATGGATACCAAGTTTCAAGTCAATCGGATGCATGGTTCAGTAATTATAACAGAACATCCGTAAAAACCACTGTAGATTTATATATTAGTATAGATTAACGCATACAAATAGCCCAAACCCTCAGATGGATTTCAAGATAATAATATGACGTGTAATTAGATTCATCGTAGTTTGTGGCAGTCACATAGGGTATAATATTGTAATTTGGTAATATTGTAATAAAATGGCTAGTGAGAATTTAAGTGAAACAAAAAACCAGACTGCATTAATGAAGCAATCTTGAATGTACTTACATTCAAGTTAAACTATAGAGCTATTGAGGGCTGAAATTTATAATTGAAATACTCATTAACCATAACTCTGGAGGTGCAGCTTCATGGTCTCTGAAAATAGATTTTTGATTAAAACATCAAATAGTGTAAAGTATCATATTTAAATACATATATTTTTTGCGTAGACGAGTGAATGAGCTCACGGCTCACGTATGGTTAAGTGATCACTGGAGCCTATTGACATAAGTGTGAATGCAGCCACCCGTTTTGAGACTTAGGTCTAATATCTCAGTTGTACAGTAAATACCCAAATAATAATTTTGTTGTTATATTTTCATCATGGAAGTCACACGTGTTAAGTGTTAAGTACGTATTTTATTACAAAATTGGTACATGCCTACGAGGGCTGAACAACGGTACATTTACGATAGTTCGATACAAGTTTTAGTTTTACCCTTGTAGGCAGACGAGCATACGGTCTACGTGATGGTGAGTGGTTACCGTCGCCTGTGGACGTCACGTAATGCCAGGGGCAGAGCTAATTAAACTACTACCGCTACCTACTGTAAAACACACGGTACACCGGGTGTCATACCCTTTAGACCACGATGACTTTGATTCAAACATTTTGGACAAATAGCATGTACATTTATGGGCGATGGGGCGTATTGTGAGCTCTCACGAGTCTGTACCACCATCTTACCTATTTCTGTCGTGAAACAGTCCATGCATTTCGATTTGAAAGAATCAGCCATAATACAATTAAGACTTCGACTAGGTACTTGTCTCAAAGTGGGTGTATTCGCATTGAAATACCTATAGGGTTCAGTAAATTAGGACCTGGCGGGTTGTGTGTTCGATCAGCAATTAAATGGATAGAGTTTTAGATTGAGTAACGATGTAAATAAATTTATGACTCGATTATGCAGTATCTACATAAAAACTGAATGTTTTCACAGACACGTATAATTTTTTCGTACGCTGTACCTATTTATCTTTACGACAATAGTAGAAAATGTTTTCAGCTGTCAGCTGTTCATCATCTTCAGTGCTCTTTTGAAGAAACCATGTCATATTCAAGATATCACCCCAGTAAAGGATATTGGTGGGATTTTAAACCTACTAAGCCTGGTGAGAAATTTTCTTTTTTATATTTTAATAATACCCATTCTCCTGAGATTTTCTATTTATTTTAAAATACAGTATATCGTTGAAGTCATAGTTCTCTCCAGTACTTTAAAATAATATGGCTAGCATAAAAAATATATAATCTTTTAATTTTAAAAATGACATAAACTGCATTCAAGCTTTTCCAGTAATCACTGACCGATCCAGATCGTGGAAAAAATACTACTTAAAAAAACGAGGACGGATCGTAATTCAGGTTATCAATTTTATTCTCAAACGAACTTAAAGCCCACGGGATATTAAGTTCCATTGGCAATTTTTTTTCCTACCTATGCTGATAGCCTATAGATGCTCTATCAGCTTCTCCTTGACGTGTAGGTGAGCTCACGGGGCTCAAACCGGGTGCGTTGCTAACACTGACCCTAGCAAGAGCAGTGCTTCGTAGAATCTACCACCGGATCGGAAGGAAACGCGACCAACTAAGAAAATCCGGCGAGAAACTCAGTGGGCTGTTTCTATTGGTTAATTCACTCGTCAAGCCCTTGGTTGTTAAGTAGGACTATAAGGGGGAATATGTATTGTTATGTCGACTGTCGAAGAGATGGAATCATAACCTGAAACTTAAGTTCCTCTGATTGAGCTTCATAGCTGTCATGTCATTAGGATCTTGTCACTTTAATATCTTTACCTCCTGTTTGACTACGTCAACCTGAAGCATTATGTAGTGCTTCTCAGTATTATTTTTATTGCACAAGAGGGATAAGAGGTCATATCCCACATGGTGTATATTGGTTTTCGAAGCCCATATACTTTACAAACTTTTTTTTTTTGGAACGAAGTTCCTTACGGCAGGCTTGGAGGGGATAGGGATTTTGCTGCGCGACCGAACTGAAAAAAATGTGATAGTAAAACCGTAAGAAAAAATCCGTGGAAAAAAGTGCGTGGAATAAAACCGTTAAATGAGACGTGCGCAGGCGCGACAGTCGCATACACAAGCGAGTAGTGTATAATACCTTTCTCTTTCTCCTTCTTTCTTTTCGTTCTCTAATCCCTTCTCTCTCTATTTAGTAATTATTTCTATTTCTATGTAATTTTATGTTGTCAACCAAAAATAAAGAGATATATTTTGTTATTTTAATTGATAATTTGAATTACTATATAACCGTTAAATGAGACGTGCGCAGGCGCGACAGTCGCATACACAAGCGAGTAGTGTATAATACCTTTCTCTTTCTCCTTCTTTCTTTTCGTTCTCTAATCCCTTCTCTCTCTATTTAGTAATTATTTCTATTTCTATGTAATTTTATGTTGTCAACCAAAAATAAAGAGATATATTTTGTTATTTTAATTGATAATTTGAATTACTATTTTAACGTTATTTATTATTTCCTAAAATAATGAATTTCCTAAATACTTTCCCGTACTTAAATAAAAACTAATCATCAAAATTTAAGAGAAAAACCAAGAAAACCTACATAAAATTGAGCACCATTTCTTTTTTTGCAAATTGTGTCGATTCTACATTAGCCGAAGGAACTTCGTTCCTACCTGGTGTCCCACGACACCACATTTTATTTATTGCTTAGATGAGTGGACGAGCTCACAGCCCACCTGGTGTTAAGTGGTTACTGGAGCCCATAGACATCCACAACGTAAATGCGCCACCCACCTTGAGATACAAGTTCTAAGGTCTCAAGTATAGTTACAACGGCTGCCCCACCCTTCAAACCGAAACGCATTACTGCTTCACGGCAGAAATAGACAGGGTGGTGGTACCCACCCGCGCGGATTCACAAGAGGTCCTACCACCAGTAAAAAACTGTAGTAATACTCAATTTTATTGTATGAGATGTTCCAAATTTCGAACCAGAATGTAGGTACGATTAATTCGTGAAATTAATAGATGGCGTTATATACCTAGCCGTTCGTCTCACAATATCATCTCATCCTGGAAGTCATTCGTGAGCCCGTGTTCGGTACGCTTTTCATCGAAAGAATCTCGGCCATCTTTCGTATTCAAATCTGGCGTATCATCACTTACACACGACTTTATTGTAAACTTATAATTAGAATAAAGACATGTATTCCGTGTCAAGACTCGCTTTGAATCATGTGAGGGGCTATGGTGAATTGTAACAAAGGTAATTTGGGATGTGGCAGTTTGTGTTAGTGAGTGATTAAAATGATTTGTATAAAAAAAATTATAATAATATTTACAACGATTTATTTTAGGGTTAGGATCTTACAATTCTAGTCAAACAGCACCGAAAGATGTTTCAAGTACTCCAAAAGAAGAACCTTCAACTCTATTCCAGCGGCAGAGAGTTGATATGCTATTAGCAGAACTTGTGAGGCAGTTTCCATTACCTGTTACTCAAACTGCACCAAATCAGGTATAAACCATTGTGATTACATTAATTCTCTGAAAATTACCAAATCATTTGGAATTTATTTTTATTTAAAAATACAGCCACAAGTAAACAGTAGGTGGTATGTATCAATAGTATATAAAAATAAATGAAAGTAAGCAAAAAGATAAGAATAAATACAATTTCAGAATACAAGTGTAAAGGCAAGTAATAAATAAGCAGTAATTAATTAAAAAACCAAATAATTCATCATACAAAATAATATTGTATTACAATTGTTACAGGCAAATGGAGTGACAGTGAAGACTGAAGTCTCCAATGACAAAAATGAAAAAGGAATGGAAGGGAATCTTAACAATATAACTATTAAACAAGAGCCTGTGGATCCCACAACATCTGAAATGACAAATGGGTCAATGCAAGGTCAAATTGAAATAAAAACTGAAATTAAACAGGAAAACATGAAACCACCTCCTGAGAAAAAACCAAGGAATTTATAGTTGGTGTACAAAATAAGTGTTTATTAATATTATTAAAAAAGTGAATTAACGATAAAGCTTTTTATTGCTCTTTTAAATTGTTGATCAATTCCAGGTTCTTCTCTTGCTGTATGTTGTACAGGTTTCCAATGTTCTCTTCAGTTGGAGCTCCGTTTATACAAATTTGGCAATTTATTTTTCTTGTATCTTGTAGATTGTTAATAATATTTCTAGATCTGAAAATAATTAAGAAATAGTAATATCATGTTCCGATTTACTGATACTATGTATTTAGAAACATAATGTAATATTTAGATATTATTTATATTCTAAAAATATTATTACCTACTAGATCTGTTTGAACCTAATTCAAAACCTGTGCTAAAGCCTTTTTCGTAACCTATGTTAAAGCTTGTTTGGTATGCAGCAGCTTGCCCGTCAGCTGCACCATCAGCATAAGCAATCTACAATGATTTGTTAAATTAAACTCAATTTATAATTTAATTTTAAGATGCTACAAATATCTAGGTACTATCGTTATTACGGTACTACCTTTTGTATTGAAGACAAATTGCGTATCCACGTTTTATTCATAACACTATCACTATCAGTAGTCATAATTTGTCTCCAAAATGTTATAGAGGAATGGTGAAAAGGTAAATAAGCAGTTATTGTGCACAAAGAAGTTTTAAAATAAAAACATCAAAATTTAATTCCTTAAATTTTAATATCGCATTTTTATGACGTTTTTGAGTAGCGTCGCACTATTATAACCGTCTTAATTTATGTATGTAAATGGATGTTAAGTGTTAACGTAGGTAATGTAGGTATGTATAGGTGTAGTGAGAAATTATTTTCCATCGGGAAAACTCGGACTATCGGAATACCATGACACCCGAACTGTCAATGAATTTGACATTTTCATATCCATTAGGTACCGGTAACACTGGGTGATTAGGGACAAATTCCAAATTGATGAACAATTTTATGGTAGTTGTTGATGTATTTATTGCTATATCAGGATCAAAATGTTTGAGTCTTGGGGGTATCTTTGTTATCCAATTTAAAACTATGCAATTAGCATTCCAGTTTAAGCAAAAATAGGTGAGTAGGTATTTACCCGGAAATTGCGGTTAATAGGAACGAAATTAGTGCAAATAGAGAAATTGGCTAGGGCTGACACTACTTGGTTTTAATTAATTTATTTATTTAGTTGCACCAACAAACTGATCATCAATAAAAACATTGAAAACGTAACAAAAGTACATAGCAGACGTCACTTCAATTATAGATGCAATAGACAGTGCATTCTCGTCGTCTTACTCGAGTAGTATATAGCCATGTCATCGGTGAAGAGAGGGGTCGGGGCATAGACCTATATAGTAGGGACACGACATATTGTTCTATACGTACAATTGCTTATATAAATAGCACCCATTTTGAAGGCACACACATAAACATATATCTATCTCGTTCTTACTCAGCACTTTAACTCGCAGGAAAACAATATAACAGTATTTCAGTGCGTACATAAAATGAAACATGAATATACGTAAATGTCTCTGTCTCCNTCCTAGATTTATAGGAAGACATAAATATTGTGACTCGGATGCTGCCCCTTACGTCATTCATATTCAAAAACAAATACAGGCATCTAATGACAATACCATTTTGCACCCAATTTCTTTTGGCAAATTTTTGAAAAATTATTCTATTAAAAATATTGTTAATGGCAGTCTTAAGAGAATTGGTAGAAACAGGCTATCACTAACATTTGAAAATTTTAATGCGGCTAACAATTTCATGGATTTAGATATTTTAGAGAAGAATAAATATAGAGCATTCATTCCTACCTTTCAAGTTACTCGCATGGGTATCGTTAGAAATATTCCTACAGAATGGTCTGAAGAAGAAATAATTAATAATATCAGTGTTCCGTTAGGTTGCGGAAAAATCCTAAAAATTAGGAGATTAAGAAGAAAAATCACTGTAAATGATAATAAAACTTTTATTGACACAGAATCCGTGGTAATAACATTTGATGGACAGGTTTTACCTAAAAGAGTATATATGTGTTTTACATCATTACCAGTTGATTTATACATTTATCCTACAGTTCAATGTTTTAATTGCTGTAGATTCGGTCATGTTAGAGCTCAGTGTAGATCGAAACCGCGTTGTTTTAAATGTGGTCAAGATCATACAGGAGATTCTTGTAATGTAGAGGAGGAAAATGTTTCCTGCTGTCTTTGTAACGGCTTACACTTTGCTATAAATAAGAAATGTCCAGAATTTGAAAGACAAAGGGCCATAAAGCAGACAATGGCGAACAGTTGTGTGTCATACTTGGAAGCATGTAAACTTCATCCTCCAGTGTATAAATCGTATGCTGATGTTCTTTCTTCAATTCCATCGGATCGTAAGAATCATTCAACGTTTCATGAATCTACTGCCCCCAGCCCAGTAATTGCCAGTAAAAGTCCATCGTCATATAAAAAAACAGTTTTTATGAAACCTCGATCTCCCTTTAAAGGTGATAAAGGTTTTGATCAAAGGGCCCATAGAAATCTTACAAGAGATTACGATGCTCCATCTCCTTCTAATGGCTGTGCTTTAAAATTTAATGAAAATTCCGAATCTCCTGTGGCTGAAATAATTATTGCTCTTATTAATTTACTTGCTCCTAATAACGCTACACCGTCCAACGCAGCTGATATCATAAGACAAATTTTAAACAAAACATACAATGGCTCCACAAATAAAAAAGATGATTCAGTGGAACTGTCGAAGTATTCTAAGTAAAAAGTCTGATCTCATTCACTTAATAAATAAACACTCTCCAATCATAGTTTCTTTACAGGAAACATGGTTGAAAAGTATATATCCTTTCAAAATCAAAGGATATACCTGTATCCGTGAAGATCGTATTGACGGGTACAGTGGTGTTGCTCTTCTTGTAAATAGTGTTCTTAGCTTTAAACTTGTAGATATACCTGATCATAGTTTTGGTTTATCCATTATTGCGGTCATTGTAAATAATATATGTATAGTTAGTCTATATATTCCCCACCCTTCTGTAGAGATTTACAAAGAGTTTATAACTATTATTTTGAATCTTCCTAGACCAATCATAATAATGGGTGATTTTAATGCTCACCATCAAACATGGGGAAGCTCAATATCTAATGAATTTGGAGATATAATTCTTGATTTTGTTAATGAACAGAATTTGTGTATTTTAAATTCTGGAAGTCCAACTCGTAGAACTGGTCCTGATCAAATTGTTAGTGCTCCTGATATATCTATTTCCTCCCCATCTCTGGTGCCGTCTTTGTCCTGGAAAACATTAAAATTAAGTTATGGAAGTGACCACTATCCTATTATTATTTCATTTTCACACAATAACATAGTAATTAAGGATCATTCTAAACATAAGTCTACAATAAAGTACAACCTATCTCAAGTAACAGATGAGGATTGGAAAACGTTTCAATCGCGTTTGGATATTAAACTTGCCAACTGTGAAAATATTAATAACTTAGATTCTGATGCACAAGCAAAAATTTTAGCTTCTGCTTTTATAGAAACAGCTGATGAAGTTTTCCCTTCTAAAAGCCCTTCTGGTATTTTTATTCCTTCTCCTCCTTGGTGGGACCGGGAGTGCACTCAGGCGGTAAAGGAGAGAAAAGCAGCCGAATTATTATATTTAGAAGAAACTATTACAGAAAATTTTGATATTCTAACAGAAAGAATCAATAGTACTCGGAATCTTTTATTAAAAAAGAAACGAGAAGGTTTTAAAAAATTTTGTGCTTCGATTTGTCCTAATATCTCACCTTCTGAAGTATGGAACCAAATAAGAAGATTTAGATCTGCATATAAAGAAAATACAGTCAAAGACTTGCCTTATGATCTGGCTGACAAGTTTCTTGATAAATTAGCTCCCCCTTATGTTCCAGAAGAATGTTTAGTTCTTATCCCGTCTGTCCTTCCTTTCTCATGTTCAGATCCAGTTTCAGATTTTGATTTACCTTTTTCATTTAATGAACTGAAGGGGGTAATCTCGAATCTTAAGGACTCTGCTCCAGGTGATGATAAGATTCCTTATTCTTTCTTTGTCCATTTGAGTGATTCTAGTCTCACATATTACCTCAACCTTATAAATTCTATGTTCATTACATGTGTTATCCCAGAGTCATGGAAAAAACAAATTATTTTACCCATTCTCAAACCGGGTAAATCTTCATCAGATGTATTGTCATACAGACCCATAGCTCTCTCATCTGTAATGTTGAAAATTTTAGAACATTTAATTAAAATTAGACTAGAATGGTTTGTGGAAAGTAACAGTTTACTCAGTGACAGTCAAAACGGATTTAGAAGGGGTAAAAGCACAATGGACAATCTTGCTATCTTTATAGTGGATATTTTGGTAGCTTTCTCAAACTCTGAATCTATTGTAGCTGGATTTCTGGATATTTCCGCTGCATATGATAATGTACATATTCCTACACTGCTTTACAAATTACAGAAAATAAGGGTTCCTGTTAGACTTGCTAACTTGATTATTACTATAATGTCAAATCGAACTATCATTTTAAACTCTACCTCTTCAGATTCACAACAATCTAGAACTTTATGGAGAGGTCTTCCTCAAGGATCTGTGTTAAGTCCAATTTTATACAATATATACACTTGTGATTTGGAAGAGACCCTTGGAAATCAAGTAAGAATTCTTCAATATGCTGATGACCTCCTTATGTACACTTGCAATAAAGACATACATAAAGCTTGCTTATCCCTTAGGAATTCATTTCTAACTCTTAAATCTTGGTTAGATAATAATGGACTTTCCCTTTCTGCCTCCAAAAGTTCTATTGTTGTATTCTCTAGAAAACGTTCTCTTCCTCCAATTAGTATATTGTATGAGAATGAATTAATTTCTGTAAATAGTCATGTTAAATTTTTAGGTTTAATTTTAGATTCAAAATTGAATGGAATTCAACATTGTAATTACATTACAAACAAGTGTTTGAGTAATATGAATATCTTACGTTCTCTTGCCGGTGTATGGTGGGGTGCCCACCCATTCAATTTAAAACTTTTATATAATGCCATAGTAAGATCAGTTTTAGATTATGGTACTTTTTTACTTCAACCAGGGGATGTGAATGCTTTCAAAAAACTAGACACTATACAGTCTAAGTCACTCAGAATTATCACTGGAGCCATGAAATCTAGTCCTGTTACAGCATTACAGGTAGAATGTGTTGATCCTCCTCTTCATTTGAGACGTCAATATTTATCTGATAAATTCGTTTTCAAATCCCTACAAATTCAAAATAATCACATTATTACCAAACTTAAAACTTTAAATGAACTCATAGAATACTCTTCATTTTGGAAACATAAACAGTTACCATGTTTAATAATTAGCTACAGAAAATATTTGTCTATTCAAACTCCAACTAATCACTCTCATATTTTCCCTCTATTTTGTGTAAACTATATGGCATTGATTTTAAAACCGGATATTCATCTTGACATGGGTATTTCTAAGTATCAACCCCAACCAAATACTAACTTTAATTTTGTAATAGACCAAGACTGGAATGACTATAACCATATATATACAGATGCTTCCAAACACCCTCAAGGTTGTGTTGGTGTAGGAGTCTACCATTCGCAATCAAAAATAGTTGAAAAGATAAAATTACCATCTGAAACATCAGTGTTCACTGGTGAATGTTTTGGAATATACAAGGCCATAGAATACATTTTGATATTCAAACTAAAGAAAACTTTAATACTAACCGATTCAAAGAGTGCTTTACAGGCTCTTGCAAAATTTCCTTTTAAATCTCAACCGATTTACCCTATTCTCTTAGACTGTAGAAACCTGTTAATGAAATGTATGGATCAAAATCTTACAGTATCATTTGTATGGATACCTAGCCATTGCGGAATTAAAGGAAATGAAATAGTTGATAGAATTGCAAACGAGGCTATCAATTGTGGTGATATTTATTATTTCAAAAATTATAGTCATGATTTAGTTAGCCTCCCTAAAACATATTTGAATAATGCTTGGAGTGCACAGTGGTATAATGGCGTTAAAGCAAAATATTACCGAAGGGTACAACCAACCATTCCTTCCAAACCATGGTTCTACAAATATAATTTTAAACGCCACGAGACTTCCAGTTTGATACGGATGAGATTAGGCCACACGTGTAGTCCGGCACATCTAGCGACGATCGGAGTGCTGGATAGCAGTAAGTGTGAATGCGGTGCGGACATTGGCGATTTAAATCACATTATTCTTTCATGTCCCCTTTTTGACCATTCACTTCTTTATAGTTCTTTATCATCACTTAGTATTCCTTTTCCTATATCTGTACCTTATTTATTACATACAGTAGACCCAGTTATTTATAAAATTATTATCTTATTCCTCAACAGTTTTAACCTAAAATTATAATTATATATATTATTTATTCTTCCTAATTATATTAATCCTAATCCAATTTTCCTGCCTAAACCTTATCTAACTTATATTTTCTGTTTTGATTTTTGCTTCCTAACCTTTATTTTGAAAGTGGCAAATAACACTTGGTGTTGGGTCCAAAAAGAAAAAAAAAAAAAAAAATTATTGTTATCAAAATTAGATACTATTATTAATGAAAATAATAGATAATACATTTAATATTTAAGATGAAAATGGACTTCCACGCAGGACAAACAAATCCGATGAAAATAGAAGAATACAATGCAATAGTGGAAGATTTTACTAAACTTTCATCATTCACTAGAAAAATGGAAAACGAACTTAAAAGAAAATATTGTCAGTAAGTTTATTATTATTCACACTAAAGCCTTTAAGTAGTTAGTGCCTTCGTTGTTACTGTGACTAGGCATATTTTATCTCACAAAACCATAATTTATTTACAGTATACAACCTCATACCTTGGGGAGTATCATATCATTATTAATACAAAGATCTATGAAACAGAACTACAGAAAATCCCCTGCAATATCATCTAAATATCAAGAGCTTTATGAAGTTGCTATGAGAGATGATACCAAAGAAAATGTTATCTTAAAGTAAGTGTTGAACATTATTCTTATGTAGAATTAAAGTTGTTATTTGATTATTAAATTATTGTCTGAAAGAAATTTTATCTGGCTATCACTTTGAGAAGTATTATTTCATTTTAAATTTGATTTTAATAATTTATTTCCCCCGTTTGTTCAAGTGAAATCTATGTTACTTTATTTCAGGCTCTCTGAGAGTCAAGGTATCAGTCCAGCACTTTTTGCTAGGTCATTGCTACAAGGAGTGTTCTCAGACTCAACTATATCAAAGAAATATATTAAGGACACAACATTGATTGAGAATAAAGATCTAGCTTACCAAGTTTTTATGGTAAGTATTACTTATTACTGAAACTTTCAAGTTTCTTTAAGTGTTTGATTTTGTGCCACCTAAGTCTTGTCCCTTGACACTGGCACTGCTAAGAGGCATAGATGCAGAAGATGCTGCTTACCACCAATAACTTCAAACATTAAAGAACATGTGTTTGCTTATTTGTAATTCATAGTTACAATTCCATTTTAAATTATGAATATTCTTTAAAAGCTTAAATTATGTAATATTTTTAATATTATTTTAAGTATAATTAAGATTTCATACATTTATTGCTTGTGACCATTAGAAAACAATGAAGTGAATTGATAAGTAGCAACAGTGCAAGATACTCTTGGCTTAATAACTTTGTTTTGATTGCAATAGGACTTACTGAGGATTTTTATGAGTTGACTACTGTTGCCGTTTGATCTTGCAGTTTTATTGTCTTTAAGTTAATTGAGCCATTTCGAATTCTTTAAGTCTTGTAACTTGTTTACATAATAATGAAAAAGATGATCACAAATGATCAATAAAAAAATTACATTACACTGTAAAAGTGGTTAAAACAGTGAAGACAGTAAAAAATATTCAAAACATTAAATATTCAAACTGCTTCAAAGGAAAAAAAATGTCAGGGTGTGTCAAAGCTTTTATATTTTTGATATCACTAAATAAATATTTACATTTTACAGGGAATTATGAATGACAATCAATATGGACCTTATGCGGATGTGACAAAGCAGTTAGTATAGTTTAATTTCAATCTTTATAGCCCAGTTTTCAAAAAGTCAAACTCATAATCTTTCTTAAATTATTCTAAAATTTCTTAAATTATTGTTAAAATAAATTAAACTTATAATATAGATATTAAAGCATAATTTTTTTTATACATTTTAGGTCAATTGGCTTGGAGTATGAGTTAAGACTAGAACGAGAGTTAAGGTTAATGAATATTACCTTTTCTGATGAAAATGTGCTACGTTCGAGAGGATATGATAAAACTCCTGACTTCAAATTGGATGTACCCATCGCTGTTGATGGTTTTGTTATCAATTGGGTTGAAAGCAAAGCTTTATTTGGGGATGAAGAAAATCATTCTGGTTATCTTAAAGAACAGTTATTGTGTTACTGGAACAGATTTGGACCCGGTTTAGTGATTTATTGGTTTGGTTATTTAGAAACATTAGAATCTACTCCAGAAGTAAATAAAATGTTCATATTACGTACAAGTTTTCCAGATAAATCTAGCATAACTCAATATAAACCAGATATATTATAAGGTATAGGTGTAAATTTTTCATGTAAAAATTCTGTAGTGCTAAAAATGTCTTAAGCAAAGTAAATTCATTTATTTTAATGTACTGAATAAAACTATGCTAGAAGCTGGGGTACTTAGAAAACTGAATGGGTTTTGTTATACTCAAAGCAATCTTTATTGACAATGCTGAGAATAATAAATTGAGAAAATCGAATCTCAAAACAGTGCCGAATATCATTCCACACCCTAGCAGTTAATATGCGCCAGTTTTGGTCATTTACTATCTTCAAGTACATGTGCCGCACTTTATAACTCCTTTGTATCGCTTTCCACTTGTATAGCATCGTTTGTCGTTATCGTTGGTAATTATCCCTTATAGCGTGAACCAGCGATAGATAAGACTCTTTTGATGCGTATAAAGTTTGGACCGTCGGAATACTGACTATTGCGGAGTTTGAATATAGACTTGCGCAAAACATCACTTCCCAATGTAATGTGATATGACATCACTTTTACAGACAGGTGATATTACTCGAAAACATTACACATCACTCTTAACATTACTCGGTGCGCTTAATAGATACTGTGACGACGAATACATTGTATCTATACACCCGAATCATTACCTAAGTGATGTGTATCAACAAGTCATCGGGTGTGTCATTACAGTAGTGTATTACAATACAAAGTATGAACTTTGTATTGTAATACACTGTTATATTACTTGACAGAGATTGACTTACTTAATAATATAATAATTTTATTTTTTACTTAATATAATTTATTGTGGGATGAACGGATTTCATATGGCGACTTAGACTGCAAATTGAGCTCGACAATAATGTTAATATANGTCAATAGATAATGATGACAAATATAACAAATTATTCCCAGTTTTTTTTCTAGAATGCAGATGCAGAATATACCAGTGTGTTTGGTGCCAGTTTTTAACTTCTCGAACGTCTGCGTTTGCCGCTAGGGGCCCAGTTCCCGGTGAAGACGTGCTGCGCATCATGTGGCGTACGCTAAGTGGAGGGAGCGGTTGATGGAGGAACTTGGCCGAACTTCGGCCACCCGCAAGGGCGGATCCAGCTTTGGCGCCAGGAGGGGGTCACATAGTCAAATTTAGATGCGTTCGTTTCCAAACGTTTGCCATTATACAAAGTTATTATATTTTTAGCAACGGCTTAATAATTTAAATAAATAAAAAAATAATACAATAGTGGGTAGGAACGATCGACACAGAATATTAAATCTAAGACAAGTGAACGCTGCGCGCGCTGCTAGCCCAAGTGATCCGAGGTGGCGTGATGTCCCCGCTGGTCGGTCGGTTGCCCCTCCAGATGACGTCACGAGTCCACGTGAGTGCTCGTCATCAATGGCTCCGCCCATCGACTTTGACTTAAGAGGAAGTCGCCTCTAATAATATTATATTAAATTAATTAAATATTGAAGGTATGTAGTTACATAAAATCTGTATGGTGACAAAATATATAAATAAAATCATTATATTCAATTAGTGGTCCACCTAAGTCCTGGAACCAGCTCAGGGGGTGGTCATGACCCCCATGACCCCCCCCCTGGATCCGCCATTGGCCACCCGCCAGCGCAGCCTTGAGGCCCTGGTGCCCGTGCTGGAGGCATGGTCGAATCGGTGACACGGCGTGCTCTCCTTTCACCTTACGCAGGTCCTCCCGGGACATGGCTGTTTCGGGAGGTACCCGTGAAAGGTCTGCAGGAGAGGTCACATCCGGGTTGACAGGAGTAAAGACATCCGGACGATGACACTCAGCATGCGCTCGAAGCATGCCCGCGTTGGGAGCACTCGTGGTGAGATCTCATCGCGGTGCTGGGGAGGGTCCTCTGCTTGCGGGCTGTCGTCGCCCGCATTTTAGAGGACCAGAGCTTGTGGGAAGCAATGGCCAGGTTTTGTGATCTGGTCATGATGTTTTGTGAGTCTGAGAAGCATGAAAGCGCAGCGCAGAAGGCGGGGTGGGCGGCGCGTGCGGGAAGGTCCCGCTCAGCTCGGTCAGACTCTCGGTCCGGTGGTGAGGCGGTGCAAGGTGGCTCGTGTGGCCGCCCATGACTTGTCTCCCGAGTCGACGTTCTTTGGGATATTCCCGGAAATGTCATCCCGTCATATCATCAGGACGGGTAAAAGCAAAGGCGAACTTTCGGCGCGCACTGCGGTCCCGTAGAATTGGTATAACCGATGTGGTCTGCAAAGACCAGATTTGCAGATCGTCAAGTCCCACATATTCCGCGCGCCCCCTAGGCGCAGGGACCTCGTAGAAGGTTCAGCCCCTGGCCCGAAAAAAAAAAGCCGATGTGGTAGAGCTCGATGTGGTTAAAGTCGTTAGTTAGTTTTGCTGGGCGCGTGCCTCGCGCGCCTTTTTCAAGGCGTATTCTCCTGCGAGAAATTGGGGGAGGACCTTGGCCCTTCTCGTCTCCCTCTTCCTCTCTGAAGGCGCTGAGGCCAACATAACCCGGTCCAATGCTCCCCTCGACCGGGTATCCGTAAATGGATTCCCGGTCCAGTAGTTTCGGAGGCGAGCACAAATAAACATAACACGAACAAAAAAATCCTAAAAATCGCAAATGATATTAGGTTTCCCGTTCCATTTTATTACTTTTGTTCAATGAATATATGAATATACATATATAGTGATAGATTTGCCTTGAAGCTTAACTCACAGAAATAACTAAGCATGGTGCGTTTTTCGGGGATTTTTTTCTCTACCTAATAGATGGGGGTCCTAGGAGTTATTCCAGTTACTCACGGACTGGTAGATGAGCTCACGGGCTCAACCTGAGAGAGTTTACTAACATTGGCCCTAAAAAGAGTAGTGTTTCGCAGAATCTGGATCGGTTTTACGACCCCGAAAAGATCCGGTGAGAAACTTAGTGGGTTGTGTCTATGGGCTAGTTCGGGGATAAAATATTGCTTATTATACTCAAGTTCATAACTTTATCATGGCAATTTTGCGAAGCTTAGGTACGTAAAACCCAATCAGAATAGGATTTACATAAAATCTGCTGTTCCTACTGAGCGTCTGTGTCGCAAAAAAATATGTATGTCAAATTTAAAATCATCGGCCTGGTAATTTCGAACTTATAAAGGGTGAGTGGAAATCAGCTTTTTGTATATAAATAATAGATTGAAACTAATAGATAAAATATAATAATAAATATTGGGGCCAGCCTAAAATGTGTTACTCTTGGGAATAAGTGAACAAGGATGTATTGTATAATGCCGAGGAAAAACTGTCAATAAGTTAACTGTCAAATTTATCAAATGTCCAAAACTTTACGATTTTACGAACCCTGGGAATAAATAATTGAGATTCTGTAAACCATTGTGGAGGACTAAACTGAATTTTTGGATTTATTGTATTTATTTTGAATAACCCATACAATATGGTTGTAGGGGCGTTTCCAATAGCTAAATTATCTGTTTTGTTGGTGAAACAGATAAGTAAACCAATCGCGAACGTGTGCAAGGAGAGAGCCAAGAATAATCCATTTTTTAGAACTTATGTTTGTATGCCTCCAGCGCAATGTAAGTAATAATGCTTTTCACGTTTCCATATTAAATCCTTTCTATATATAAGCGAAACAGAAACCTTTCTCATGTACTTTTTTTCACAGTTTACAATTGGTGTGAAGTTAAAGCCAAAATGTGGATTTTAAATTTGGGAAAACCTGTCAATATTCCTGTTTTAAGCCAGGAAATGGCCATTGAACTTGGAGCAAATCTTCTTGGCGAAACGGTTATATTCGTAATTGGTGCTAGCCTTTTAGTGATCGAGTACAATAGGTATGGTTTCACAGTATAAAAGGTAAATTTAAAAGATGTCTCGAAATTGTAATTTGACTATTTTTAGGCAAAGTAAAAAAGAAGCAGCCAAAGAAGCCAAGCGTGAAGAGGAGATGAAGCACATCACAAGTACTATCACAGATTTGTATTTTACTGTACAAAAACAACAGACACAACTCCGAGAAATGGAAAGGCTTATTCATTCTATTGGTATGTTGTTAGTAAATAAAAATAATTCTGTTGCACCTGTTAATTTTTTTTGGAACCATTTACATTATATAATATGGGATTTTTGGTCTTTTCTTAACATTATAAGGTTTGAATGAAGACTTTGAACTTAAAATGATAATAGTGTTATTATGGGTTGGGTTTATACACTGTATAAATATGAGTAAAGTTTATTTATATATGAACAAGTTATATAGTTGGTTGAAAATATTTACCAGACTGCCTTTTTTGTATGTTCCTGTCTATAAATCTGATGTTCAAATGAACTGTAATTGGAAATGTGGTTATAAATGCCTAGTCTTCACCCATAGATCAGTTATAGACCAGCTAAAACTATCATTAAGCCACTGTTGTGGAAAAAAAATAATTTTGTTTAAATATATCTTAATAGAAGGTTCATTGTTGTTATTTGTTGATTTTTAATGTCTACATAATAAATATGGACATTAGGAAAAATATAATATAAAGTACTTTATAAATAGAATCTTTCATACCTTTGTAACCTGTTCTTTTAATTTATTCAAAGATACTGATTTGTGATGGTGTTAGCATACATCTTTCTCACACACTAATGCTTCCCAGTATGGGCAGCAGTAAATCTTTACTTTTTGCTTATCACTAAGTTAACATAGTCCCAACTAATTAGAACTGTTGGTTTGCAATTTTGTTGCTTCTGACTGGTGCTAAAACCTCAATTAATGAGTATGGTTGGTACTCGAGTCTGTCATGCATGTTTATTGCTTGATATCATGTGGTGTACAGGTTCTAATTATTTTATCATCTCAGAAATTGTAATATTATCAATATCACACACATGGCATGGAAATATTTAAACTGGTGGCAAAGCTTGCTGATATTTTTTGTTAGTATTGATTCTAAGAACAATGTAAATATATCAATTATCAATTTATTTTCTATTTTTAATAGGTGGAGATCAAGCACCCAAAAACAGCCCATCATCTGACAAAGATAGTACAAATGGGAGATCACCACCAGATGCCACACTAAATAATCCTGTTCCTGTTCCTGAACATATAAATCACAATTCACCAACTCTTAGTCCCACACCTTATCCAAATAAAGGCCTAATATTGCAGTCGTTGAATTATATACAAATGGACGCATTTAGCTCATTGTTCCCCAAAAATAATACTGAATATGAGAAAGAAAGAGATGAAGATAAATTTACAAGAAATAGGAGGGAGCCAGCTGTACTCTCTGGTATTTTGCATAATATCGAGAATAATTTTAGAAGTTTATTTTGAGGATTTTACAGTATAAATTACACATTGTACTTGCATTAAAATGTTGAAATGACCACTAGAATGTTAAATAATTTGTTGCAAAATTGTTGTTGACCATAACTAATTTGCAATAAATTGCTTTAAGACAGGAGCCTTCTGTGTGACAAGTTATAAAGTAGACTTTTCTCAGTTAAAAGTTACGTAATTTTAACTATATAAAATTATCTACAGTTATAAAAGTATTGGTTTTTCAAATGTGCACACAATATTCATATTGTAACTAAGTATTCTATTTTTAAGTAATGTTCTACAAATATCTGTTTTAAAAGCAAAAATTTTGAACTTATAATAGAATTAAAAATAGTATGTGTTTTCAACAGAAATATATTATTTAATGCTTTTAAGTATAATGTCTCTAGTCACAATTTAATTTGTAGAGGAAGCTTATATTCTTTTAACTAGATCAATGATACTTATTTAAATAGGTATTAAAAATGTTATTAATTATATTTTTTTTTTAATTATTCCAACCATTCAGTCATATAATTACAAACTTGTGGAGTAATTAGTCCTGAGGAATTACATCTTTGAATCAAGGGGCATATTCCACATGGCACTTGAACAAGGCCTGAAGATGGTATAAGAGTTTCTATAGCTCTATATACATTACTTCCATCGGGAAACACACTTTTTTCTACCTTCCCATCATACACTAGGGTGTTTAAAATTGTTGTCACATCATCAACATCTAATACAACCTGTAAAAGAAAAGTAACACTAACAAAACGTTGATGTAATAATAAACATCATATAAGTAGATATAAATGAAACATTAATTAAATCTACATGGTATTTTAAAATGTTCGCTGACCAAGTTAGTGTATGGTGGTAGGACCTTTTACGAGTCCGCGCGGGTGGGTACCACCACCCTGCCTATTTCTGCCGTGAAGCAGTAATGCGTTTCGGTTTGAAGGGTGGGGCAGCCGTCGTTACTATACTTGAGACCTTAGAACTTGTATCTCTAGGTGGGTGGCGCATTTACGTTGTGGATGTCTATGGGCTCCAGTAACCACTTAACACCAGGTGGGCTGTGAGCTCGTCTACCCATCTAAGCAATAAATAAAAAATAAAAAAGTTATTGTATGTTTGTAAAATCTTACTTTACTAATTCCCAGATCAGTAATATATTTTTGGACTTCAGTAGCAGTGGCATAAGCTTGTGTTCGTCCAAAAACAGGTCCCCTAGGATTGTTTCTCATATTATCAGCTCTTTGACTCAAGAACCTGTGGCATTGTACATTGAGGACATCTACAAACTCGGATTCAAAGTCTTGGTCTTGGTACCAAGCTCCCCCTGTCAATGATCTATCTGGTTCCAAGTTGTAAAGCATATAAACCTTCTTTTTAGAGGCCTGTGAATTAAACAGGTTTAAATTGTAAGTTAAGTATCAGATAGATCTTCGTTGATTTAAAATTAAATTTACTTACATTAACACATTTCACAGCTTTTATCACTTTTTTACTTTCCAAATTTTTGAGGACTTTAGTCAGTTGAGTGTTTGCAAGATTCGAACGGATCCTAATATCTCTAATCCAAATTCCTTTATTTCCTGCTTCTTCAATCAGATTATAGACTACCTTTTCTTCATTATCTGCTCCTTTGATTGCGTGCTTATTTGTTTGAGTTTTCAACCTAAAATAAATAAAATTTAATAATATTATTAATATTATTTCAAGTTCTTTAAAAATTCTTCTCTAAATCTTCTAATTCTTCTCTAAAAATTCTATAAATAGCTAATATTTTGGTAACGTACTTATAAATTAAAGATCCGTTTTGATTAAATAAATCAAAACGTTCTTGTTTCAGCAGATCATTTAAAGCAGTTACTAGTTCTACTGATGATATGCCAGGTATTTCAGCAATTATATCCTTGTCTGTAATTCCTTTCGAGCTTTTTCTTGCAAGATTTAGTATTTTCTCTTTTGTATCTTCGGAACTCATTTTTGGAAAATAGCGTTTGTGTATTAGAATATGCTTTGGGCTAAACCATAGATTATACTGGGCTAAACAATTAACAAATATATATATATTTTTAAGGGATTTTATGACCTGGTAACTAAGACCTTTAAGTCATGTCTTATTTAAATTTATATTCATATTTTTATGAAAAATGATATTATGGAGTGAAATGAAATAAAGATGATTAATTTGAGACATTAATCAACTGGGATGAAATTAAATGAAATGAGATGAGATGATATGGGATGAAATATAATCTCAGTAAAATGGAGGTCATTTACTGAGACTTTTTCAGTGGACTTTTTGGAGGATCCCGAGAAGTTACGTTCAGCGGCTTTGTTTCATTTTCCCACATTTGTGCAATTTCACAAATACTAAGCAGTTAATAAGCCTGAAGAAACACTAAATAAACAAAATAAAACAATACACACAACTTCACTCCTAGCGTTCCCGCCAAAAAATTAATTTCAATCAGCCACCTTGGCTGAAGTTTTTACTCCTTTTTCACAAAAATGTAGTTTTGTGACTCTTTGATAAGACACGCTTCACCAAATCATCACTGACGCAAAATTATGACTACGTTGTTCCTTTGATCACTTGAGCAGAACACTTCTTTATAGCACTTCTTCAGAACGGTGTGCATACCCTAAATTATACTATCACTTTGCTTATTGTAGTGTTCTTCAATCGTGAAAATTGTTTTATTGGTAAAGAGGATATTTCTGTGCCATTCACCTGCACACAAGACGTTTGGATCGATCCACTCTCTTTAATTGTAAAGATCGATTTAGGTCATGTTATGTACATCGAGGATAAGCACTGAACTTCAGGTCTTGTTTTATAATCTGCGACAGTCCTAGCGGGAATCATCATTTTTCGCTGTTGCGACGAATTCTGGCTTTAACAGCATTAGTAGCCTTTGTAGCTCTAACACCACGAGGCCGCCCCGACCTTCTCTAGTCTTCGACAGACAAAGTGTTTTTGTATCTGTTCATAGTACAATTTACGAACATACGGCTGATACCAAGCTTTTGAAGTGTCTGGAATATGACCGACGGCTCCATATCCACTTTGTGTAAGGCGATTACTGCAAACCTATTTTCTTTAACACCCTATTCCATATTGTAATTTGATAATGAACACGAAAAAATATTTGAAATGGCGCAAAATCGAAAGAAGTTGAGGGAGTTCATATAGAGTCCCATCTTTCTTTCGCCGTAAAGTCGTGTTTTATGTAATTAACACCACAGTTGAAACAATATAAATTTTATTGATGTAGCGGCATAAACAATTCTAGCTAATTATATTATATTAGTTATTTTACACATTATAAATTGTTTTTACGTTTTAAATATTTGGCGGTAAAAAAAAAGGTCCCGTGTCACAGACTATATTCTGTTTCCCACCTCTCGTGCGTTCCGGCTTACGCATCATAAAAAGGTGCGTACTTAAACGCCACAAAGTTTTTAAAATAATATACGTGTTCCAAATTCAAAATCATTATATAGTTGAAAAAAAGAAGTTTTTTTTGTAACAGTATTTATGGCTCGATTGGTTATATAACGTTAGGAAAAAAATATATTTTCTGGAAACATCTTGTCTCTTCTGGCAGTCTCAGTCATTTTCCTTGACAATTCAGACTTTACTTTTGGATGTTTTCGCAACATAATTCTATCATCACTTTTACAGTTCAGTGTTGTCTCAAGTCACCTTATTAAATTCCATTTAATTTTCTTCAATTCTATTTCTCTTTTCATATCACAGATTTGTTTTTGACTTTTACTTTTAAAATTATAACGTTTGAGCTACGTTCTCTTTGCCTGTTCAATAGCAGAATCGATAACAAAAAAAGTAAACAAAATAAAAACACAAAACCTACCGGTGTTATTTGAGATTTTTGAGAACATTAATTTGATATTGATCTTTAATAACTGTAAAAATTATGAAAAGTTGGAGCTCTAAGTACACAGTAAATTGAAACTAAGTTATACTATATACTCTTAATTATGCTATGAGCATTACACCCCTAAGAGTACATTACAAATGCGCACTGAGAATTAATTGTGCACTAGCACCATTATGAATCAAGATGAAAAGGTTCCCGTTTTATACTACACTAATCCTAATTATAATTTTTAGCGTTTCAACTATTTTGTACTTAAACTCAAAAATTTCCATGAGAAATACGAAGCTATATTCCAATCATCAAAATAAGAGGTAAGTACAACGAGTAACAATAGTTAAATAGGAAATCTGTGTTCTAAAGAAATACCTTTATTAAAGTATACCTTTATTAAAGTATACAAGTAATAGTAAAAGTATACAAGTAATAGTACGAGAGCCCAACATGAATGACATTCTTACGTTGCCGATTTAACTGATTACCAGAGTTCATAGATATCACAATATGAATGGCCACACATACGTTGAGATCCGAAGTCAACTTTCAATTATATTGTATTAAATTCTGCCCCACCCTTAAAACAAAAAAAAACAGAATGGATGATTGCTATAAGGTAGAAATGTGCAGGATGGCGCTACCTACCTGTGCAGGCATACAATGTGTTTTAACAGTAATGTCATGCTTAGCAATGTTAGCATCAGTGGGATTGAGTTTTCTTTGATTAAGATTACTTTAAATTAGTTATTTTGATTCATAAGACTTGTTAGAAATGTCTGATATTTGCAGTACCTCTTTGTTATTTGGAGAAAATTGAACTGCATTGTTCAATTAATTATTCAAATTATTTATGGTAAATCTATATATATAAAAATGAATTGCTGTTCGTTAGTCTTGTTAAAACTCGAGAACGGCTAGACCGATTTGGCTAATTTTGGTTTTGAATTATTCGTGGAAGTCCAGAGAAGGTTTAAAAGGTGAAAAAATATGAAAATGCTCCGAATTATATAAAATTTTTTGTTTGTTTTTTCCTTTGATGTGTCCTCTGTTGGACAGATTCTTTTTGTTTTTTTTTTAGTTTATTTTATACAAAAGTTTAGGTCTTTTATTTATCGATTGAGGCACTACGAAGTCTGCCAGGTCAGCTAGTATCATATATTTTTTCTTCATTTTGAATAGTCTGTCCACACTTTGAATATAGAACAAAGTTACTGATTATTTGTATTGTTATATAAACTATTGTTCAATAATGCAGAATACTAAACATGAATATGTTCAGATTAAAATGTTTTTGTCTCCCTTCATTGTGTTTCAAAGTTACCTGGTGCAAACATCAAAATGCTGTGCATCCACTCTCAGCTTTCACCATTTTAATTAATAGGATGAATAGAAATGTATTATATACTATATTATTATTAAAGGGTGTTAATATAAACAATAATTTATTAAAGGCATTTCTTTTCAAAAGACCTTGCCCATGTGATTGTTCTCTTTGATAATTGCAAATATATTTTATACCTTTAGTCACAGTGCAACTAATTTTATTGCAAAATTGTTCATTTTACAAATACACGTTTCTGCTTTAAGAAATAATTGTGACAAGAAATAATTTTTCCTTTCAGAATATTTAAATCGAAGTTGATGAAAAAAAATGATGAAGTTGTTTTATCATTTGTAGTGTGTGACTCTAGGTTTAATGAGTCACTGAATTTGTTGAAGTCTGGACTTATTTTTACACAATCCTCCTTACATGTGGTTATATTTGCTGAAGATGATTTACACAAAAAGTTTAACAGTACATTGACAAAGTGGAAGATGTTGATTGCCAGACCATTCACTTTTGAACTTCATAAAATTAATTTTCCCGAAGCAAACAGAAAGGATTGGATGAACTTATTTAGTAAATGTGCTGCTCAAAGATTATTTATACCTGTAAGTGTAGGCAATAAAATTAAATTAAATAGTTCTGAAAATATATTATAGAATATGAGCAGGCCTGTCTTCAATATGCCATTATTTTAACGGAAGACAAATTGTAGGACTGCAAGAGTAGGTACCACCTTTTTGCCTATTTCTGCTATGAAGCACTCTTGTGTTCAGTTTTGAAGGCTGAACAAGAGTTATTTATACTAAAACAATTAAGTTTTCCACTACATTTGTAGTAAGTGACAATATTCACATTCTGTTGTCATACCATCTACAACATAGTGTGTATAGTCTAGATTACTGGGGCATACTTTTTTCGAGTACGATTTTATCAGTAGAGAGAAAAACAATTACAACCCGCAAGACAGTGGAGAATGGTGCTGCGAGCTACTAAATCAACTGAAAAATAAAAAATTAATTGTTGGTCCCCAACAATCTTGACAGCTGCACAGGGGTCGCAACCCCTGGTTTTCACACCATTGGTCTAGATGGTTTATAACACTTGTAGACTTCCATAATACAATGTGTTGTATGTGAGGTGTGATAATTGGATACAATAGTCTTTGATGTTTATATAAGGTATGATAAAATTTTATTTTATTTGAAGGAAAATAACACTTTTTGTCAATGCTCTTTTTCACTGTTCATCGAAATTTTGGTTCTGTTGATTTTAATGGATGCAAACTTCGGCTTTCAAAAACGTGTCAAATTTTATAGGCATTGCTTCCTCATGTCGATGCTATGATATATGTGGATACAGACACCCTGTTTTTGGGTCCCATAGAAATTTTGTGGAACTACTTTACAAAATTTAAAGCTACAGAAATATCAGCTTTGGCTTTAGAAGATGAAAACCCAAATGTTTCATGGTACCCTAGATTTGCCAAACATCCATTTTATGGAAAATGCGGTAAGTTTACTACAAACTATACTGATATCTAAACAATAAGAAATTGAAATAAATATATGTATGTAGCTAAAGACATTGAAATCAGTATCTTTTCAATTCTAAATAACAATGAAGCCATACTTACCTGATTAATATACTGTTAATTGCATGATTTATATAGGTAAAATAAACTTATGTATGCATTATCTCATCTTTGAATGCTAAACTATAATGTTGTTTATGTTTTTTTAAATCCCTATTTTTTGTAAATACAATTAGAATAATCTTAGTCAACATATTGGTTTCTGATATCTTTAAAATAATAGAATTTCGGCATGTAAGTAAAATGTTAGATAAGGTCCCATAGTCTGTTTTTAACAGGCTAAGATGCACATCATCTTGGTAGTCTACTTGTCTGATCTGTGAGGGAGTTCAAAGAAGTTTTGCGGTGTGATGGTATAATGATACGGGCTAAATAAGTGCCGCATCTGTCCTAGTGAAACAGAAAAGGCCTACTGGCCACGAGTAATCATCTCTTCCTAAAAAAAAGAAGTGCCACGGTAATCACAGACAAGAGCCTACATAGTACATAGGCTCCGACAATCGCGGCAACTTCTATTGCGGTTTAAAGTCCTGCTGACGACTTACTACTTTAAAACTCAGGTTTTACGGTGGGTGGCATTTACGTTGTAGATGTCTATGGGTCCGGTATCCACTTAAGATCAGGTGGGCCGTGAGTTCGTTCACCCAGATAAGAAATAAAAAAGTGGTTATCGTCGCTCACTATTAATTCCATTTATACACATTGCTAATGCTTGGGCATAGCCAATCCGAAAAGTGCTCTTTTGTATGAAGTCAAACGGAAGTAATATTCCCCACCTATCTTGGGACATGCCGTCCAAGTATTCGCATCGCGAGACAGCCGTTACGCCTGACTGCTTCGCGGCCGAAATAGGCAGGATTATTCTACATACCGGTGCAAGCCTCACAATATCAAGTTATAAATAGTGCAGGTTTGAATTTATTACACGATGTACCGTTACATGGTAACTTGGAAAGAACTGCCCGATACCCTTCGAATCTTTATAATTTTTATGTTATGTCAAATACTTTTTCACCTTCTACTAATTTATTTTACTCCGTTTTCCGTGTTCTGCAAGAAAAGTCATCTACGGCTTAAACTATGAATTAAAAAAAAAAAAAACGATTTATTAAAGTAACTAAAACTTTCGATAACTATCCTCGCGCTTACAGGTTTGAACTCTGGTGTGATGCTAATGAATTTAACAAGGATGAGAGAATTTGGATGGATCGATTATATAACTCCTATCATGCTAAGGTGGAAATCCAATATACCGTGGGGCGACCAAGTACGTTCCAATATCTATACGATGTACATTTTGCATGATTACATTGAATGATAATATATTATTATAATTGCTGCGTGAAAGCAATTGAGATTTCAACTTTATATAAAAATTTGGATTTCACATGAAATATGAACATGAAAATGACGGTTTTTGTGAAGGTTTAATTCATCTAGAATTTAAATGGGCGACCTCTTGTGCAATCTGATTTTAATCAAGAGGTCTATAGACATCGTAAATTGAAAGTACCGCGGCCCACTTCTTGGTGTTATGTGGAAACTTCTGTTGTATAAGAACATTGTTTATCGCAGCAAGAACTTTGGTGCGATGTACAGAATGGGGTATTAACCTATGCGGGTTCATGTTTTATATTCGCGGCGGGTTCTCACATTTGTTATTTTGCAGTTATAAATCGATCTAATTTGTACTAAATGTCTGTCTGTTAACTTTTTCTAGGACATAATCAACATTATCTTTCACTATCACGAGAGGGCAGTCCACGAGTTGTCCTGCCGGTACAACTATCGTTCTGACCAGTGTATGTATGGTGACGCGTGCGCAGATGCCACCTTCAACGGGATCTTCGTACTCCATGGCAGTCGCAGAGCATTCTATAGTGACAAGCAACCGGCGTTTCAAGTAATTTTCACACAATTATCTTCAGATTTAATTTTTTTTATAAAATAATAGTTTTAGGGTTCCAGCTCTCAAAATGAATTAAAAGCAGAACCATGATATCGTAGCTTTATTGTCCAATAATTATTAAAAACTATTGTTTATTATTTATTCAAGGACTGATGGAAGTATCAACCGGATTGAAGTTCAAAACTTCAATTATTCAAACTATACTGAGACCTTAGAACTCATATCTCAAGGTGCGTGGCGGCATTTACGTTATAGACATTGTGGGTTCCGGTAACCACATGACACCAGGTGGGCTGTGAGATCGTCCAACCATCTAAGCAATAACAAAAAAAAATAGCAATGATTATTTTAAAATATTAACTATATTTTAAACATAATCATATTATTATAAACAAATACATTAAACACAATACATAAAAATTTTATGCTTATGGCATTAAAGTATCAAGTAAATTTATGAATATTTATTGTATTAATTTAATTAGTATAATATTGTATACATTAAGTAGGTGTGTTTTTATTATTATTTTAGGCAGTGCACAGAGCTATAGAGGAGTTTGAAATTGGAGCAGATTTGTCGCCAAAAATGTTGCTCGTCAATATGGAGAAGTACTTGAACGAAACGACCCCTTCGAATTGTGGAAACTTAAAAGATGCCTTCCTGAAAATACCCACTGAGACCTTTAAAAAACATTACAACTTACCCGACAGATAGGACTTTTAAAGTGTTGCTTTATTTAAATAGTTGTTTTGATCAGGGTATACAGTATTCATCTTCTATCTATGTAAATAAAAATAAATTTATATTTATATGTTTGTCCTCTAAGCGTTCCTAAACCAATGATATAGCTTCGTCTATATTTGCAGTGTGTAAAACATTAATAAAGTGAATGTGTAACAATATAATAATATATTCTTTTAATTATATACCAAAATCTTTATTTACGATATTTTTATTGTGTAATTTCAAAAACAGGGCGTCTTAAAAAAATATTGTAATAGAGCTGTGAAAAGACCGATCTCATAAGTAATAAAGAGATAAGTGCACATTTTATTAATAGTTGTTTACTCATGGAGTTGCCGTTTTACAATAACGGTCACTTAAAACCACTTGAAACTTAATTTATGTATGGCAATAAATTCTAAATTCAAATAAAATTTATTTAAAAAAAATATGGATCTCTATTTTTCAGATTGATTCATTTGTTTATTGATGTTGTTTTATGTTGTTGTATCTTTGCCATCGATATGCAGACAATAAAAATATGATAAATATGAGTAAAAAGCAATGCTGCACAAACGACTCGCAACATTAATGACGGGAAATACGTGACGTGTGTAGTGAATGCTACAAACGTTGCCATTTCGAAAAAGCGGCACGACATGAGAACCCTTATCGTAGCCGCCGGTAATTACATTCCCGATCCTGCGGACCGAATGGTAAACAGTCGACGTCGCCCAAAACACATCATTTCGGATCTTCCCGATCCACTAACGGTGCTTTAAGGTACCTCAAGCACCAGCCATTGTTCTCGTCGAACTCGTCGCTTGCGACGAAGGGCTCGGCGGGTAAATTAACTCACAGACACAGTCCACTGAGTTTCTCGCCGGATCTTCGCAGTGGGCTGCGTTTCCGATCCGGCGGTAGATTCTGCGAAGCAGTGCTGTTGCTAGGGTTAGTGTTAGCAACGTCGTCAGGCTTGAGCTCACCTACTCGCTCGGTTACGCTGGCATAGCCTCAAGGCTTACCAGCTTAGGTAGGAAAAAAACGCACGACTCGATATTCTTTAAAACGCCTCCGACATGGAAATTTTGATCCAAGAAATTAACCTCGGCCGTTTGAAAACTAAAGTCTACAACGACATTAAAGGTGATTATGGAAGCTGACGATACTCGAGCTACCGCTGAGCTAGTAGTAGTTTTGAACGTTAGCATCAAAGCAATATTGGTAGGCTTTGCGTCAAATTGGCAAAGTAAAAAAACTTAACAAGTGGGTGCCGCGCGAACTGTGTGCTTAGTGCGAGTTTCTTAACGTGCTCGATATCGTAAAAGTTAAGCCATTTTGTATGCAGTTGTAACAGCGCCCCTAGTGGTAAACGAACGCAAACGATCCCATTCCATACAAATATGAGCTAACTTTTACGCTATCGAGTACGTTAAAAAACTCGCAGTAAGCACAACGCCCGCCAGCGCGAACGCGTTAAGGTTCTGGCTCAGCTTATTGATCAGGAATTTCAAACCTCTCGGAATTAGGATACTTTGGATAGATACCCAAGAATCCCAATTCCCTCAGAAGTTATACTCCTTGGAATTGCGTTGCCGTAATTTAGGGTTTTTATTCGTTTGAACACGACAACCACCATAAACTTTCAGAAAATTGATTTTGACTGTCTCATGGATATGAGACTCTGAAGAAAAAATACATCAAGAACTCAAATATCAAACATGTTAACATAAATCGATGTTGTGTTGATAAGTACAGAGTCCCTGGTACAGCAATTAGAGTCACGAACTACTAGATCGGCAAGGTGATTTTAAGTCTATTGCTTGTTCCTTTATATAACTTTATTTTTGGTTCGTTCAAAAACTCTAATTATATTGCCGAAATCATAAAACAAGAATTAAAATAAATCATACATTGTATTCATCTTCTTGTCTAATTTTAAATCGTTTTAATTACCTACTTGCTTTTTAAAAATATCCTTGACTGTGTTAATAGCCAGAACAGAGTGTGTATTTTTGAGTTAATTAATATAATATATTAATTTTTAAACGACTTCAAATAAAAAAAGAAGGAAGTATGTAGGTAGTTATTCAGTAAGGGCATTTTTTAATTGGGCATAAGATAATTCTCGACTTAATAAAATTATTATATTGTTTTTAAGTAGGTATATAGTTTTTTTTAAATGCCCTTGTAAACAGACCAGTGTGCCTAGTGCGAGTTTCTTAACGTTCTCGATAGCGTAAGCCAATTTTGTATGCAGTTGGAACAGCGCCCCTAACGGCAAACGTACGCAAACGATCCCATTCCATACAAATATGAGCTAACTTTTCCGCTATCGAGAATGTTAAAAAACTAACACTAAACACACAGTATAATTATGTTTTAACCATCGATATATTACCATAGTACTTCAAGAAATTAAATCCTATTATTTTGTTTCGCAGTTGTCTCTTTCGCACACATAATAACGTTTACATGCAAGACAAGGATGTAATAGAGCTATTTCAGAACAAGTGTAGCGGAGTCACCTAATTTTTTATTTTTCTTAGATTGTAAACTGAAATTTGTTTTTACATTTTTACAGATTTCCTCAAAATGATGCACAAAGAGAAAAGTGGCGATCAGTAATAAAAGAAAAAAGAAGCGACGATTATTTCAAACCTAATTGCTCCAGTGTGGTTTGTGCAGACCATTTTACCTAATCTGACATGTATTTAATAAATAAAACAATTTGATGGGGATTATGTTGTGGTGATTTAAAAAGCTTTTATCCATTTTCCCCACCCCCCATTTACAATATTAGCAATAGCTATAGCTATATATAATATTAGCTAGTAAACTCAGGTATAATTATCTATAGTTATACAATATTTGTTGTTAATCATTAGGAATAAAATTGAAAAAATTGAACAAATTGAATGAATATTAATTAAAAAAACATAATAAAAAATAAATTCTTCAATTTATTCTTACAAAAAAAGTACAAAGCTCGTAATACTCTGTTCGGAGCAGTGAAGTCTTCATATCGTAAGTTTAAAATGGCGTAAGTAAAATGCTATGTCTGTAAATCTCTGTTTTATTTTTAGTGAAATAAGGTTGAATTTGGAACAAAAGTTATTGTAAATTTCAATCTCTTTCTGTCATTCATGGCGTAAGGTCGTAAGTGAATGTTAAAACAATCTAAACTGCACTTTATTGCTTGGGAAAAAAGCATAGTTTAGGTTACAATTATTATACCTTTACATCGTTGTTCTCCGTTTGATGGCATAGTCAGATTAGTCGATGCCATATTTGTGTTTTGTTTTTGTTTGTGAGGTGTTATCTAGTGGTAATAGATCGATGGTTCTAACTGATGGTGTTTACCGTCACTCATGGACGTCAGCTGTGCCGGCACAGCCAAACCGATAGCTACCATTGAGTAGATACTCTCCACAAACCTCGATTGAAGAAAGACATAAATATCATGGCGGTCCGGAAATACCGATGAAGAAACGTCATTTCAAAGACGGATGATATGTTGCAGACAAAATCACTGGAATCGCACTGTGGATGAACGCAGTGGTTCTAGGTAGTAAGGATGAAATCGACTCCGGTGGCGGGCGGCGCGATTGTAAAGATGGAAACCAGTTTTCATTATTTTTTTTGTTTGTTTGAGTGGGTTCGTGCATTGTTTAGCTTTACAATTGTATCCGATTGGTGGCGCTGCCAAATGCAGCAATTGTTTTATCATTTTCAGCACGCTACCGAGGACATGTCACTTACCAGCTGGTGCAGATGTTTTCCGAGCGCGGCTGGTTTGGGAAAAACCTATGGAAAAGCGACATCACTGTGGATTAGATTGGAGACGGCGTAACAGATACTCACGTATTGCTCTCTCAATGAACTACGTCGCCGTGGTCGCGAAGCAATTGCTCTTGAGTTGTTAGGTCTCCTTCGGAGGCGCTCGGGCAGTTGTTAGCAAATCCCACCACTCCTGGCTGAGTATTTGCTCGCCCATCTGTCATGGTGAAACTGGAAAGGCCTTCGGGCCACCAGTAAGTAATCTTTCAAACAAACAAAAAAAAAACGTCGTCGTGTCCGAGCCGAACCCGAAAGTTCGGTCCACAATACACAAATCGGTATCAATTTATCGCGCCTATGTATCACGGTGGCGATAATTTAATTTTGCTATTTCGTTGAAATAGTATAATTTTTTCTAGTAATTACGTGTTATACAATGAGCGTATGACTTTCTGTGATGAACATGCCAAAAACAATTCATAAGTTTGCGTAATTATCGGTAAGGTATTAAGAATTCAATGCAACTGATATACGATAATATGAGTCGTCTATTATCAAAGGTGGCAATCTGTGCATTTGGACAAAAAAATGTTATTGATATGTCAATACAGATTGATTTGAATATAATCGTCTCCTTCAAAGAATACGGTTCAAAACCTGCATTAAATAAAGGTTAATAGTTAACCTGTTATTTATCTAAGCTGATGTCGTTCCGAAGAGTTTTGTGACTGCCAATGGAATACAAAGTCAATAATTCGTTTTTCTGATTTACCAATAATTGTCCAAAAGTCAGATTGCCGGCTTTGATAATAGTCGACTCATATATGAGCTATAAATAATATTTTTGTTATCACTATCCTACTCATATAGACTGTGAAGCAATTGAATACTTTGGAAGAATGACAGCCGCTATTCCAAAACAGAGCTATTTCATTTCGTAGGCCACTTCTGACTTTTTTGTTTCTTTACAGACTTGCTAGACGTTAGATAGACTTGCTAGACGTTTTTTACTGGTGGTAGGACCTCTTGTGAGTCCGCGCGGGTGGGTAACACCACCCTGCCTATTTTTGCCGTGAAGCAGTAATGCGTTTCGGTTTGAAGGGTGGGACAGCCATTGTAACTATACTTGAGATCTTAGAACTGATATCTCAAGATGGGTGGCGCATTTATGTTGTGGATGTCTATAGGCTCCAGTAACCACTTAACACCAGGTAGGCTGTGAGCTCGTCCACCCATCTAAGCAATAAAAAAAAACTTCTTTATTATTGCTAATAAAGCCTATTTGTTATCCCAACAATATACATACATGCCTAATCTGTATTCTTTTTTTAAAGTCAATCAAATTCACACTCTGCAAACACATTTTTTTTTATTTAATGTACCTATTCATAGGCACCACACTTGCGTCCTTAGCTAATACACTCTGATACAAATTTATTAATTTACTTAGTATAAAAATATATCAATCATATTGGGCCTATTGGTCGGATATTTTTATAGGCAAAGAATGGCCAGACGAGTTCATGACTGGGATAGAAATAAAAAATATGGGTCCAGATAGTATGGATGAATTTTGCTCCGGTGGTGGACGGCGCCGGATTCACCGGATCCGATGGTAGATTCAGCGAAGCACTGATCTTGCTAGTGCNAATTTACTTAGTATAAAAATATATCAATCATATTGGGCCTATTGGTCGGATATTTTTATAGGCAAAGAATGGCCAGACGAGTTCATGACTGGGATAGAAATAAAAAATATGGGTCCAGATAGTATGGATGAATTTTGCTCCGGTGGTGGACGGCGCCGGATTCACCGGATCCGATGGTAGATTCAGCGAAGCACTGATCTTGCTAGTGCAGATGTTAGCAGTCTCCATCTCCCAGGCTGAATTCCTTGAGCTCGCCTACACGTTTGGTGAAGCTAGTACATATAACCCCTCGAGGTTATTAGCAGTAGGTAGGGGAAAAATCGTCAGTAGTATTCGTATATGTATTTACTAGTCTAATTTTTTGGGGAAAATAATTTACCCATCTTCTTTGCCTGATCTGATACCATACCCGTAGTACCCATGTAACTATAAACGTACGAATGCCTATTCACTGATTGAAATTGCTGCACTGTAATTATAGCGGAATATAAAAATGATATTATGCCTCCGGAAGTGTGTATGGCAAGAAATAAAATATCAATTTAATTCTTCTCAAGTCTCACGGATGTAGCATTAATGCCAACACCATAATAATATTATTTTATACAGGGTGTTAGCTAACTTTTCGGAAGTCCAAAAGGGAATAAAATAATTATTTTTATATACAATACAAAAGTTTTTTTGCATTTTTTAAGAAAATTCACAACATTTTTTAATATAGTTTATTTAAATGTAACTAAATTATGTAGGTACTATTTTGTTCGATAACTTTTTGCCACCTTGTAGGGGGGATTGCCACATGATCCCATTGCTATAGACATTTTGGGGCTTCTGATCAAAATACCGCGACAATTGGTTTTGGCAGTCCTCTCGTGAAGTTAACCTGACACTATCTAAAGAATTCTGAAGAGACCGAAATAGGTGGAAATCTGAAGGTGCAAAGTCAGGACTATACGGCGGATGCCTTAACACCTCTCAGCCAAGCTCTCATAATTTTTGCTGAGTGGCTAAATATGTGTGAGGTCTAGCGTTATCATGGTAAAAAACCACACCCCTTCTGTTCATTAATTCTGGCCGCTTTCTCTCACTTCTTGCTTTAATCTCATCATTAAATTTGTTCGCAGTAGAGTTCAGAATTGATGGTCCTGTCTGGTGGTAATAGTTCATAACGAATAATGCCCTTCCAATTCCAACACACACATAGCATCACCTTGTTGCGAGTTCACTCGGACAAGCTGAAGAGCTACGTCGTAACTACTGATATGCCGATCTTGCTCAATTTTTCAAAAATGGCATCCATTTTAACCCTTATAGGGCGACCAGAGCGACATGCACCTTTGACATCAAATTTTCCGGATTGAAAACGTTTAAACCAAATTTGTGCTACTCTCATAGACACTGCACTAGGTCCATAAAATATATCTCAAATATTTTCGCGGCTTGCGTTACATTTTACCTTTTTTGTAGTAAAATATTAAAATGTTTCTAATTTCTTCATTAGATTCACTCATCTTGACAGTACGAAAAATAAATAAAAATCACACATTCTCCTAATTTGAATTTGGAATTATCTTCTTTAAAATTTAAACTTTTAATGATACCAAAACCAGCCAGATACAAATAGTATAGCCAAAGAGATTTTATTACAAATTCATACATACTATAATGCGAAAAGACTTTTTCCCCAATCTATTATATATTTGTTGTGCTTGGAAACTCTTTAAGGATATATCCTCTGACAATCTGCGGTCGAGAACTATTGTGGTAATGTGAAATTAGGTCTTAGATTCTTGATATTTCACGAAAATGATAAAATGGTAAAACGGATGTTTTGCATACAGGCCTCCAGATAATTTCGCACGATTCATTGAGCTGGTTTTTAAGCAATAATATTAGTTACATACGTTTTTTCAATCGTGATTATTTTAGTTATATTATCTCAGATATCAAGTCTTCGTTTTCACCCTGTATATATGGATTTTACAGTAGAAACTAGTTTTGGTTGAGAACTCGTTTTGTCCGGCTAAAACTAGTTTTTCAATTTGAATTTGGAAATTTGTGTTTAGACTTGATTGTTGTTTTTTTATTGTTGTAAATTGATGGATAATGGATGGATGAATGGATAATGGCCCACCTCTGAAAGGGTAACAGGGACCTATAGACACAACAGCGTGAATGCCGCCTGACATTTTGTGACATGAGGTTGAATCTTAATGGCATTGTAGGTAAGAATACTTATTCTATTTGATACATTCAAACGGGAATACATTACTGCTTCCCTGCTGAATAAGGCAGAAAGATTGTAGCTGCTTATCAGCGTAGGCTCTGTATAATAAAATTATGGACATAAATAAAAATACTGGTTTGCCTTTTACCGAGCATATTATTTAATTTGCATTGCGATCACACTTTCACATTGAGTAAGATATCTACGATTTTACTAAAATCTGCCTTAGTATTGGGAACTCTGTATTTCTTATGCTATGCTGCATTTGTTTATCGTTTTTGAGGCGCCCTTCTCTTGTTAGTTTTACGGTAGTCTGCGGGGTAATTGAATCCTTGGTATTCCGATGTCCACAGGCAGCAGTGAGTACTTTCCACCAAGTCGGTCGTATGCTTGCCAAAGCAACCAAAAAACAGATACTCCAAATAATCCCTGGGCTTTATAATTAGCATTTATCTATTACATACTTTTATTTACATAGGCCTTAACTCATTTATGTATTTTGGATATAATAAACATTCGTGCGTTTTCTTTAACCCGTTGGATCTAATTATCCGAATATTATTGTAATAATGAACTTAAAGTGAAGACTCGAAAAATTATAATAAACCTAAAGTTACCAATGTAGTCAAGGACTTTCCTACTGCCGAATGCTAACTTGTATGCAAACTAATGGTAAACTAATGCCAAACATTTGTAGTCACTTATTGTGAGCGGACGTGGGATTTGTAACAAAATTTATATAAATTTAAATTGCAATGCATAATATTTATAAAATAATAGCGTGTTTTGCGCTGAGATTTTCTGTGGTGTTTTCTGCAGACCCTACACCGGTGGAACAATGCCCAGGTTTGTTTAACTTTTATATTAAGTGATAGGCAATAATCAAATAAAAATATGATATCGAGGGGTGAAAAGCTATTTGGTTTAAGCAACATTTCGCTTAATACTTCATGATATTTAGGTAATATATATTTATGGCATATAGTAATTATGGTTTGGTAAGCGTACATAAATGTCATGGTATAAGCATGGTAATTAAGTATACATTTCTGTTCGTTTTTGATAAATTCACAAAAACCTTATGGAATCTCTCTCCTCTTTTGTGTAGGTATTGTAATTTCTCTGTATTGACTGATTTATTATATCTGTTTGATGTGTGTTTTAGTCATTCATTTTTTTTGGTTCTTGATATCTATTAAAATTTAAATAATTTTTTGACAAGAACTTCAAACTTCCAGGTTGATTGATCGGTTCGGTTTAGTATTAAAGCATCTTTTCTTATGTTTTTAAACAACATCTATTTATTGTCTATCAATTACCTGGTTACCAGGAAGAAATTTTTTGAACACACACGAGGCTTGTGGAGAGTATTAAGCGGTAGGCAGCGGCTCGGCTCTGCCCCTGGCATTGCTGAAGTCCATGGGCGACGGTAACCACTCACCATTAGGTGGGGGCATGTGCTTCGTCTGCCTAAAAGGGCAATAAAACATTCATAGTACACTGATCTAAGTTTTAAAGAATGTAATTGGTGTACAAAAATACAAGAATATTTTTGGTTACGTTAACAAATGAATATTGTTTTCCATTTACGTCAGGGTTTTGTTCTCGTTTAGGTTTCGAGAATGGTCTTGTTACATCTGTACACTTTGCATTATTTCAAATTATAATCAGCCTTTGAATACACATACCTACCTACAATTTTCTCGCGTTCTGTTCGCTTCTCATAAAATTTTATTAGTACTTTATCTCATTTCTGTATATTTACAACTATCAACATTTTACGGGAATTTAATTTTTTAATAAATATCTGATTGATCTTTTGTAGGTCAGCGTTTTGAGGATTTAAAAGACAACATCCAAGTCATTCCCTGTGGTAAGAAGACATGCAAACTGGTTGTAAATACAAATACCACGGTGATTTTCAAATTTACACCAAGTAAGTTTTATTATAATGTATAGTTTAATTTAAAAAAATATATAAACATAAAGTAAGAGCCCTGGTTTTGGCCAATTGTGTCTATTCCCAACTATACAAGTTAATAAATTAATTAAGGAACAGAAATAAGACTGAACTATAAGGCAACAGATCCCGCGTTTGTTAAAATTTTTCTATTGTCTTTTTTAAACGTGATAGTTATGGCATCACTACAATTTTTTCTGTGGTAGTTATTAAAAAATAATTAAGATCATAATAAAATATTACATTATATCATAATATTTGTTAAGAAGAAAAAGTGAAAATTTCAATGAAGAAAAATATTGATTTTTACGTTTTTTTAGCGGAAGAAGTAAAGGAACTCGTGAACGATGTTTATGCTAGCATTGAAGGCCTACCGATTCCTTTCATCGGCGTCTCAGGAGTTAGTGCATGTTCCAACATAATAAGGGTGGATACCGGAGAAGCAGCACCGTGCCCTTTAGCTCCAGGCGTACAATACAGCTACGTAAACAAATTCTTCATTCAACCATTTTACCCTACTATCTCAATGCGAGTGCACTGGAGTCTTAACGATGGTGATAAGAAAATAACGTGTTTCGAAGTTCCCGCTTTGATCACTACCAAATCATCTAAACGTTCATAATTTTAATATTTTAGAACTATTTCATATACCTAAATGTGACTGGTTTAATTCGTGTTACCTATGCTATGGTTACACTTTTGTTTTATTTTTAATAGTTTTATTCATTAAGGTTTTTTTCAGTGACCCGGTAGTAAAACATGCCCTCCATAATGTATTGTTTTATTCGTTTAATGATTAGCAACAAGATTTGCTAATTCCGCAAATATTACATGAATAGCACAGAGCAGAAAAACGATTTGCATGATGTCTAAAATAGAATAAGTGGACCAAGTCAAAAATAAAAACAGACTTTTGATCATCAATCAATTCATCAATCAACTGTTCAAACATATCATATTAATTCTAAATAAACTATCAGGACTAAATCCTTCCTAAATCATTAATAATTATGTATAAATCAAATTAAGAACTTAAGAAATCTTAACAGGTACTCTAAAACAAATCACATCCTTATCTTCAGCTTTTAAAGCCCATGTTACTTCCGCTTGAATTGATGGGTAAATACTGAGAATAGGAAAGGTGTCTTTATAGATGTAGTTGGTCCCCGCTTTGAGCGGACATCCTGATTTCTGATCATCTTCTGTATGTATCTTGTCGCAGACAGACGTTCCGTCTACACCAATAAAAGGTAGGTCTATTTCAAATAATTTCGCACTCACACTGTTTTTTAAATCCAAGACATCTTTTTCTGAAAAAAAAAAAAAAAAACGAATATATGGTCTATATCGCAATTACATAAGATGTATTCAACCTCCTCCGCGCGCTGAGGTTAGGTAATGGGAAAGCCGTCTACCAATAAAATTGAGATTTTGAGCTCATGTTTCAAGATGGATGGGGGAGTTCATGTTGTGTCTTCTATTAATCTGCTCACTACTCAACACCAGGTAAGCTATGAGTTTGTTTACCCATATAGAGTAATAAAAAAATGTATATAGCAACGCCATGTTGCCTATCAAAGAACATCTCAATGAGTCCTAAAGTTGCAGCTAAAGTTGATGTAGAGTAGTCGACTATTGCCCACACGATCTGCCTGTCAGGCGTCCTAGGTGCGGCGCCGTGGTTGTAATGTTGACCGTGGGAACTCCCCTACTCTGCCTGGGTTCTGAACTCGGGTCATTTAGTGGGTAGGACCCTAAAACATCCTTGGGCCCGCGTTCTGCTCTCAACATCTGCAGACCTCCAAGGCTCACATACCCTACGCGCCCCCTAGGCGTGGAAATCTCGTATGAAATTCGGCCCCTGCAATAAAATAAGTGTGATCTACGGTGATTCCGCAGTCAAATGCAATCATGGCAGGCTAAGCGTCTAACGGCTAGGCAGATGCGAGAATGAATCATGGCAGTGAACTTTATTCAAACACAAATCCTAAGTTTCTATAAAGCACGAGGATCGTTGGGACCATATCTAACATTCGTTCGGCTCTCTAAAATTTAACGAACATGTTCAGTTTTCTTCTGGATAGATTTGGTAAAAATGGATAAAAATTAGTGTTTTTCGATTCCATGGATGTATGAACAAATACAGTTTTTCTTTTACCACTATTTTGGTTTATGAGAATATCTGTCTACTCTCGCCTACGTTAAGAGTACCAAATACAGTTTTTCTTTTATCACTATTTTGGTTTATGAGAATATCTGTCCACTCTCGCCCACGTTAAGAGTATGCTGAAAGTCGGATCGATAAAAAAAAATTGTCATTCAACAACCTGCTCTAGACTTTGGATAATACAGAAGCCAACTGAGACTAGTCGACGGGTTTAGCGCGATTCTGCCCGCTACCGTACTTCCATAAAGACGCCGGAACAGCGATCGTCAGCGCCATGTTTTCCTTTACCCTAAATTAGCAGCTAGCCTACGATATCCATATAAATTTTAATCTTGCTACTCTGTCAGTGCAGTATGAATTTATAATTTTATTTTCAATTTCAACTTTTAAATTTATTTTTGGAGATTATCTTGCATTTTACAAGCGCTTTTAGAACAAAATAAAATTTTCCATTACAGTAGTTAAACATTCGTTGAATATTCTTACCTGGTGTAAATTTAATTACAATATGTTGATCTGTATTTTTCTTTAGAACGCAAGGTAGTTTAATGCATTCATGTAACTGGACCGCCTTACTCAACTCGGGGACTGATTTTCCTGAAAATGAAGATTTTTATTGCTTTAATGATGACAATTTTTAATACGCTTTTATTAGGTTCAGACGTATGTATGTTAATATGTAACGGAATCTTTGACCATGATTTTGACCCCCTTCAAAACGTCGGATTAACTCGAAATTTGGTATACTTAATTTAAGGACCGATGACAATTAAATATTAAAAAAAATGAAAAAAAAAAATAAAAAAATTTGAAATTCAACTAAAAAATGAAAAAAGTAATAGTTTAAAAAAACTAACAAAATACGCTTTTATAGAAAATCCAACTAAAAAATAGAAAATCATTTTTAATAAATTTGAATTAAAAATAGTGTAAGAAAAAATGATTTTATTGTAAAAAAAGCGTGGGTTAGTATTCATAAAATATTTATATCAATAGTTATAAATCTTTTATGAACATATATGAGTGGAAGGGTTATTTTGATAATATCCTGAAAAACACCCCACGCTTTTTTACAATAAAATAATTTTTTCTTACGCTATTTTTAATTCAAATTTATTAAAATTTATTTTCTATTTTTTAGTTGGATTTTCTATAAAAGCGTATTTTGTTAGTTTTTTTAAACTATTATATTATTTTTGTTTTAATCTTAGCTTTACGTACAGTTCTTTGATTAAAATTATAACTGCCCATCTGATTCATAGTTAGTATTTACCGATGCTTATGGACATCAGTAATGCTAAGCGCACATCCAAACCTATATACGTCTCTCGCAAATAACAACCTAACATAACAACACAGTAAACTGAATACGTTAACTTTCAAAACCAACGTTTTTGTCGATTTTGGATAATTTTAAATTACCTTTAGTAATAACCGTATGCCAAGGGTCTTTGCCTCATTACGTTTCAACTAATCAGTCAATATTATATACATACATATATCTACTTCACAAACGGATTTTGGCAACGAGCTCTATTTACACATCTATGTATATCAATTGAATTTCACAATACACTCGTCAGGTTTGAGCCCCGTGAGCTCACCTACTAGTTAAGGTTACGCTAAAATAGCCTTTCAAGGCCTTCAGCTAGGAAGGGAAAAAAAAACAATACACATCTAATTAACAGATATGCAGGGGCATACTTCCAAAGTAATAGGGAATTGGTAACGAAGATAATTATTACAGCAGTTGCTGCAAACAGCTATGAATTCGTCATGGCCGTAAGGATAAGACGCCCGGTGTACTTGTATCGAGCGATGCGACTTGTCGGTGTTAGAATTCTGCAGGGAGGTACCTTTTTCTTAACACGTTTTATTTAGATTGGTATCACCTTCCAAACATCGGATTGGTTTGAAATTTGGCACACATCAGGGGCACTGGTAATTAAATTATCCGATTATCTTGATCAGAATCTGCAGGATTGACGCTGAAAGCACGGTAGTTTCCGTCATGGCCTATGCAAGTGTAGTTTTCCCTCACACGGCCCGCATGCACATAAACTCCCTCCAGGTCATCCAATCCCGTTTCTGCAGGATTGCCGTCGGAGCACCGTGGTACGTGTGAAATGTTGACCTTCACGAAGATCTAAACTTAGAACCGATACCTAAGTATCTTAAGGTAGTGTCAGAACGCTACTTCGACAATGTGGCGCGACACGATAATTCTCTTATTGTCGTTGCCGCTATTTAGCTAGCCGACCCAGGCGACGGGGCAACGCAAAGCGGCCGTCGCCCGAAAGATGTCTTGTCGGATCCCCCGGATCCTCTCTCGGTGCTCTTCAAACAACGGCCACCCTTCTCGTCAAACTGGTCGATTACGACGAAGAGTTCGACATAACCCAAAGACACAGCCCACTGAGTTTCTCACAGGATCTTCTCAGTGGGTCGTGATTCCGATCCGGTGGTAGATTCTGACAAGCACGGCTCTTGCTAGGGCTAGTATTAACAAATTTTCTTAGGTTGAGCCCGTGAGCTCACCTACCCGTCTGGACGTAGCTGGAATAGCCCCCTAGGCTACCAGCGAATAGATAGGGGGAAAAACACGATTGTGTCTTGCGCCAAGTGCTCTTGTGATGCATGTACGCGCCTTCTGCCTTTGTTTGATATGGTAGCCGTTCCTTCTTAATATGAAACTATCATCGTTAAAGACTAAAAAAGCAAAGAAAAAGAATAACTTAAAAAACAGCTCTCGTAACTAGCTTAACTAAATAGTAGAAAATTTGTAATTGTGTATAAGCTCAAAAAGGAGTTAATTTTTTTTTATCGTAATAAAAACGTGGCGTACTTTTTAAGATTTTGATGACGATTACTTTTACCAATATTTATCATTAAAGTATTAGGTGAAAATGGCCTTTAGTATACAGAAATAATAAATAGTACCTAATTTAAAAAAAATATATAATATATCTATGAATTTATATTTGCACCCATGATATCGATGCATTTCTGCCAGTAAAGTGGTAGTTTTTCGATACCCTTCTTGAAGAATTTAGGTGCACGGAAATCAAAAAACTCTTATAAGGCATTTTATACTGTCTGTCCGGTTTTTATTTTTTTCCCAGCTAAGAAGTTGCTGAAACTTTGGAAAACCTTTATTTTTTATTATTTATTACTTGGGTGGACGAACTCACGGGCCAAGTGGTATTCAGGTGGCATTGCCTAGTTTCTGAACAAGACTCTAACCAGCATGACTGCATAAGGTTATCAAAGAGAATCAATTTTTTCTCCTACCTACGCCGAAAGTTCGGTTTTCGTTCCGCTGTACAGGGAAGAAAGTGTAACTTTTTCTCCCTAGGTACAAGTGCGCATGCGCGTTAGTGTCTACGTCTGCTCTCACGCACCTAAAATTCTCCGCCATTGTTGTGCTCGGTTATTTTGTAATATTGTGTTTAGTGTAAAAGTAAAATAAAAAAAGGCAATAAAAT